AGCAGAAGCGAAAAGCTGTCACAAATCCAGAAAACCGTTCGATTTTGATTGTGCTGTATTCTAGCATACCTTACTTCCGGAGGAACTCCCTTCGAAGGGCAATTTGTTTCGTTTTTATTTACACTTCCCCGAAAAAAAAATCGTGGTAGACTGAAATCTTACACAGAAATATGCGAAATGAACAGTTTCTACTTGCTACATGCTTTATGAAGATCATTGCCACACTCAGTTGAGAAATGAAATCTATATCACCACTGCTGTCGATTTGAAATAGGCAAACAGTGATCACAAAATCGTTCAAGAGGTGGAACAATACAAAGCGGGTACGCCAAAAAAAACTTAGTATTGTTCTAAATAAAAAGGCTTCCAGAACAATGTACAACACTAGAAGTGATTTCAGCACCGTACAGAAAGATAGAAGAAATTCGTTTACATCGGCGACGGCCGAACAACCACCGTTACCTGCAAGGAAGTCCCCTGTTCCACACGCCGGCGATACCGTATTCGAGACCGGGAAAGTCTCACTAGCGACTCCGAACCACTCCATCATCGGTGACTGACATCTCAGCGAAGAAATGAAAATGTCTCCCCATCCCGATTTAGCTATCATCAAAAACAACTCTCTCTGAGAGCGTCCGAGAGGATTTGAAAAGCGAATATTTCAATATTGAAACCTTTTTTTCCTCCTTTAAACGCAATAGAGTGTGGTATGCGACAATCCATCAAAAATCTTACATAAAATTCCATTTATTTGCATGCTTATCATTTCAGCGAAGTCGACTATGAAGGATTTTCTGCCATTGGAAACTGTTGCGGAGCATTCTTAAGGGACAATTAAAACAATACTGGGGAAACGATATCTGATAAGATATCAAAACATAGAGATTTCGTGCTTACAGTATAAAAAAGTGGTGAGAAACGATTTATTACAAGGAGTAGCTAGCAAATAACCAAGACAAAAAGAAGGACTGAATGAAGGCGAGGTTTTTTCCTAAGCCATAGGGACAAAGATCGTCAGCAATCCCTCTATTTCGCTCCCCGTAGTCACTACTTTCTGACGACCATTGTTTACATACTTCCTGCACACACTTATTTCCGGACTACTTAAGTAATTTTGTGTGACCCTAATATAGGCCTGTCTTGGAAATATAGAGAAGAAACAGTTGAGTAAGACTAAGTCAAACCATTGACTTACTTGGTGCCAGTGAAATAACTCGGCTACTTTAGTTTGAGCTAAGCTTGTGTTATTCGAGCTATTGAAGTGACCATAAAGCGGAGGTATGCTTTCCTCTCTCGGCTTCTGTAAGATTTGTTGGCGTACTTCTTTCTACACTAAAAGCGCATGTACTCTCTTCGCTCTTTTCCTGTATTAGAACTTTTATATAACTTCCTCATTTCTCCTTTTAATCCTCATTCCGCTCTTTGTTCTGCCACATTTCTTCTTTATAGATCAAGAATTGAGTCGAACGTATTTGTCAATACGCGTTCTTGCCTCTATCTGTTGACGGCTATACAATCCGGCTCCTTTTTTTCGGCTGTGTCTGCCCATATGGATCGCCTCAGCAAAGTTTCCACGTTTCTCATAAACAAAAAGAGGAAGAAAATGGATCATGCATCAAGACCGTGTCATCAATGAGCACATAAACCATCAAGTGTAAGTTGTCCATTAGTGTGAATGTGCAGTGCTCGGAGATGGTTGGCCGGCAAAGTGCACACGACGACGCCACTCAGCGAGGAACACCGTCGTGTTCGTTTGCTTTATCCTTCACAAAGAACAACTGCACGAGAGTGCGAACGACCAGATTGAACACCTGAATCAGAGCCACACAAATGACGTCTCATGTCCCGGTCGTCTCCTCATCGGCCACAATGTTGACGCATCCGTGGCTTGGGACGGTCTTCAACTGCCTCACGACGATGGCTGCTGCTCGATGTAGTTGAACTCAGTCGCACTCTTGAGGTATACATGAGGTTGACAATGACGTGCTGAAATCTTCCACTCCCCATCGTGTGGTCCAGTTCAACGTCGTTCTTCTGTCGAACAAAGATAACTTTTCTTCCTGTTTTAATTTTTTCTCATTGCTAGCGCTTTGTTACCACCTAATGTTTTTTATATTAAGGCTCAGTGTTTTCAACAGATACTCATTAGCTGGGCACACATATCGAGCCACATAAAAACCTTTTTTTATCTAAGAATTTCGCAGAAACGAACACATAGTTCGCTCAACGGATGCCCATAAAAGCCACAGCACATCGCATCTATTACCTCTATGACCTTGTGGTGGTTTTTGTGGCAATCGTGTCTCATCCTTTTCGGAAACAAAACATCCCCTTTATATACTGTAGAAATCACTAAGAAATTCGATGCTTGAAAGTATGACCATAAAAATTGGGAACCTATTTCTCTAAAAGTACAGGTGAAGATATCTGCAAAGCTCACTCTCCTTTTCTACAGTTTAGTGGGAAAATTGAGAAGAAAAAACTGGACCATTGAACCCTTGGGGAACCCTATCTCTAAAAAAGACACAGTAGGAAAACGCATATTATATCTTTATAATAAAAATAATAGAAGTACACAGAGCAAATAGAAAACTTCAGGGCAATAGGAAAAACAATTCGAACACGTAAGATCGACTAAGCATGTGAAAATGGACTGCACAACCGAGATACGAGAAAAACGATGCGTGCTAAACGGAGATATGTGCATTGACAGACGGGTTCAGGCTATATTCTTAGCGTCTCTCTAAAATTGAAAACTGATGCAGAAAATAGATGTGTGATATGTTGCAAATACTATAAATAATTCGTTGAGCGTCTTAATTCAGCAGAGATCAGAGATCGAGCGCACCAACAGGAAAGACAGAAGCAGCGAACACGCAGGACGACGTCGGCCGCAGTACTCGCCTTGGCCCTCGACTACTGTACATTTCCTGGATCACGACCATCGTTGCCCAATTAAAACGGCACAACTTTACCTCGCGATCCCGCCATTTCTTTATATACAAAGCCAAGAGTATGGCTACAATAGCATTGGGAAAAATTTGCCTTCGATGTCGAGTGATTGGGGAAAAAATGAGCGCGACCTTCTTCAACTGATTTTAGGCAGCACATCTCGATCGGAGACATCCGTATCACCTAACGATACAACCTTTAGGTTAAGGATTGAAATACCCCGCCAGAGCTACTATGCTTAATAAAAGTTGCCTGAAATATTGAAATCCAACTAAACGTACTTTGATTGCAAATTTTTCACTCAAAAAAACTCGATTCTACGCTCTCCGAAAAAACACGCACGAAGTGCTGAAGCGGTGATCCCTGTGCTAGCTCGTTCGCCGGAAAACAGTCGGTCAGAGGCGACGACAACGTGGACTCGCAGAGGTTGGGCAGATGGCTTGGCAGGTGGCCAGCTACTTTGCATACCGCGCCTATTCATTTTTCCGCATCCGCGCGCTCCGCCGCGGGCCACGCTGCCTCGTCGCGACGCCGTCCGCGCCCTCGGCCGATGGCACGCTCTCTCCGCTACCGCAAACTTGGCCCCATTGCGTGGCAATATGGTAGCATCTGCTTGTGCGACGTGCGCGCGTGTGTGTGCACGGAAGGCGGACGCCTAATTCGATTGTTCATAATTACAAGCGAACTGAGATTGTATGCATTACATCTGCGTACTGCCACAACCAACTTATACTGCACACATGAACGAAGGAATGAAAGCACTCGAAACGGCCACCGCTGACGACCACAGCGCACCGATCGCGGATTACGGTAGTTGCGGAAGTCCGCAATTACAGCACAGTATCGAGACGATAAGTGAACAATTGCACTGAACAGAAATGTAGCGTATATTCTTAGGAGAGATCAGATGTGATTTGCAGAACAATTCTTCTTTTTGTTTCAGCCGAACACTTTAAAACAGGTTTGCATTATATCTAAGCCGAGATTCAGAACGTTTAAGAACAAGTTTGAAAAACGTGACAGACTGAAGGCATGATGAGATCTTAGACAAACGCGCCCTTTGGTACTTGAAGTTGAGCCAAAAAAAGTTGAGCCAACATTTGCTGATTGAACATCGATGGCGGATATGGTAACACAGGTGGTTTTGGCGGCATCAGTGTCTCGGGGAGTAGCAGTGACTCCGTGGTCGTGGCGGTTGTGGTCGGCGGAGGTAGCGGGGGATCGGTGGGACCGACTGGATGAGCAGTCGGTGTCGTCGAAGACGTGACTGGAACGGCAGCTGCAGGAACCGGAGACCCAGCCTTCTCCGCTGGCGACGGCGGCTCGGTTGCGGCTCGAGCTGCAGCGGCCGACGCTGTCAGCTGCACCAGCGCCTCCATCATTGTCCTGAAATTATAACCAACGTGGAGTGCTTCAATCTATGGCAAAAATATTGTCATAAGTAGGCATTTTCGCTCCTAATTATCAATGGTTTAAGAAGGAAAGCATTCTTCTTCACAAGAACATATGGAAAAGGATTTTTTCCTTTTGCAAGACAGTTAACGAAAAAAGAGTCCCTTTCTCCTGTAACAATACTTATTTCATGAAACGAAGAAAGAAGAAGAGAGTCAGACAGACAGGCAGACAAACAGACAGACAGAGAAGGAGAGGGAGAAAAATAGAAGCCTGAATTTAGAAATAATGTAGGAAGGAAAAACCAGCGAATAATTTGTGTTTGCATGTTCGTATAAAATCAGTGTCAAAGATCCCCATCTACTGAGTTTTTACTACATGTTGCAGACATCATTCACACAGTAAATAAGTTATGTGTACAAAACGATGAACAAAAAATGCATAGAGATCTATCAGCTGTTCGAAACTCAACGACTGTCACCCAAAACCAATGTTCTATGGCGAAAGGAGAAGAACGACAGCGGTACTAGTCATTCACAAAAGATTTCCTCGAATCTTGCACTTACGATGGCACATAAGATTTTTCTCTTCTCTCCGAATATAACAATACTAACTAAAAATCTTTAAATACTTCGTACCAGAAGAGGATTTAAGACTCACTGTGGCATCAATGGCAAAGCAGGAAGCTGTTGTTGCTCCAAGTTTCGTAGCGTCAGGTCCAGTGGAGAATCATCCTGACCATGCGGGCTTCGTATCCGAGATGGAGGTGGCTATAAAGCAATCTTTCAAAGCATTTACAGGACTAGCGTTAACAAGAAAAACCAAAAACAGTAACAGACGAGTCAGCCTTGGCATCGTATTCACATAAACCAAAATTGTCTAAATGAACTAGTGCTGTGTCGTTGCGACTAAGCGCTGTGTCGAACGCTCATTAGTACTTTTGTAGACCTTAGCGCTCTTTATGCTTCTTTCTTGGAGCTTGACCTATGTCAGCCTTAATAAACTTAACTTATTCAATATAGCTAATAACGGGGTTCTTAGATAATTCTATGCAACAGAGCGTGGTTACAAAGACACTTCTCTATTCAGAATACGTTTCCTAACATTATTGGATAATTTAAAAATCAATAGAATCTAACTGAGCATTCACTTTTCTACGGCTTCTCGCCATAAATCTGTTATACATAGCGGTGGTTAAATAGAATACAAACCGTCCTGCCAGTTGCTCCAATACATAATCGTCAACGATACATTTCATTCAAGTGCCTTGGATATCAGGTACCTAACGTGAAGCCCTAAATTCCTCCTAAATCACCAAAAAACGATTGTCAGTTCTTCACCTTAACGCCCTTACGGCTCAGCTTCTGTTGATAGGCGATCGGACAACCGGACAGACTTCTATGCGATGTGCGGTTACTGTTCACATGACCTTTGCCGGTACATCCGGGTGTCGTACATCGGAGTACAGTGTCTTGCTGAAGAGCCAGCACTGCAACCAATCATAACATCTAACATGATTGTTTTCTTAAATTTCCCATCAAATTTTAGTGGTTCCTGTAATATATATAAGTAATATTAGTAATCCTCCCAACGGTTTACCGCCTCATCGTGGCTGGGAGGTGTTCCTGGGTGTCGGATTGCGATGTACAGAGAGGTATTCATTCCCTGGTAGGGTGGTTTCCCAAGCTGAGAAGGAATCCGCCCTTTCCACCTGGAAGTCTGGCTAAGAGTAAACCAACACCAGAATCCACCTCGTCCTGGTATCAAAGTCGCATGGTGGTAAACTTCCCTCGGAACCACAAGGGCTGAGACTGCCTGTGGAGGTGAAGACCTGGGGCAGACTTTGGCCATGCTGACCTCCGGACTCCAGGGAACCACAATGGCTTAACCAGCAAATCTCCGAAAAATGGAGATTATGCTTAGACTCGCATAGCCAGTGAGGACGGGCTATTCACTTATCAAGTAAGTAAGTCTATTAGTAACATTCGATATTTGTGGTAATATGTGATTTCTGCGAGTTCAAGTAGGTAGAAAATTTACCTTATATGGCATCTGAAGAGCCACCAGTTACCTTTTTGAAGAATTCGCCACTCCTTTATAGCAAGTATGAATTACTCACATAACCCATTTCTCAATCAAGTTTTTTCCTTCATGATTAGTACAGAGATTTTACCAACAGGTCAACGCGTCGAAGTTTTTTTAAAATATTTCCTTTTTTACGACGTGCAAGGTCTGTTTCAATACCTGCGCATGATATTCTTTAAACCTACCACAAGTCGAATTCTCGAATTCGAGGAGATGTCTTCGAAACCGCTCGATTAGGGCCGAGTGAGGTCCCGCAATATAGGCTCATCAAACCGAGACCGCTGTTGCAATTACTGTAAAGCGGTGGTGGGTGATGTCGCTACGGACTTCCGCGAATCTCCACGCCTCCACGAAGGCGTGTCGAAATTGATACGCCCATTGTGCGAAGACAAAAAAAGCAGAGCGACTGAAATTGTCGCTTGGTGCAAACAAAGACGTCGGTGTAATCAGTCACATTTGGAGCTCCAGCAAACCGGCCAGCCAGAGTCAATCTCGCAGCACTCAATAAATGCATGCAAGTAGACAAATGACAAATCGTCACCGGCTACCGTAGTTCACTCGTGCCTGCTACGTGACAACGCGGTTGAGCTGAGCGCCTACTACGGCGCCGCAGCCTCTTGGTCCTCATGTAATTTGTGTGGTCGTCATCATTTATCCCGATCCAGATTAATCACTGAGTTTCAAAGTCGAAAGTGTTATGAGGCAGTTTCAAACTTAAGACGATATTACAGTGACCAGTTTTCCCGGACGTTGCATTCTACCAAAGTTTTAATCTTGTTGGCATTTTGTTGGTTGGGTAAAATATTTTTCTTGGGAACCTCAGAGAGTTGTGCCAAAACATTTTCATGCCGTTATTACAATCAAGTGCCCGTAGTTGTGAAATAGGAGACGGAGTACTTTGCGCACTACGTTTTCCCTAAGAGGGTGATGATTCTCCACTTCCATTTACCCTATCTGGTCTTATGAATAGAAAATTCGATGCGTCGTTTTCTGTTCAGCAATCGCGAGGTTTTTAAACAGCATACATTTACTTCCATAGAAAAAACACAATACAATACAACACTAGCTGACGTTTCGGCAGTATCGCCTTCTTCAGAGCCGCTTTTTCGTGACTTCCAATGAGGAGGTTTAGAACAGCTGATTATAGTCGCATATGGTTGACGATTCGAGAAAATTCGATGTCAAGTTTTCTCAAAATGACAATTTCTTTTTATGTCGAACAGCAGTGCACAAATCGAGACAGGAAGGCACAATGACAATTTACACTGTACGATATTGAGAAGTGAATATTAAAAATCAAGACCTTCAATATGTCTACACTTTGAAAAAGGTCTGACCAACTAGCCTTATTGCGCTGGCCCAGAGCATTTGGTGTTGTTGATAATATAGTTTAAAATGAGGAAAGGGACTAATTATATTGTGTTAATTCACTAGGACGTGTATCTTGCTGGTCCATCAAGTATTCAAATTCATGAAGATTTGGTTCTGGTGTCAAGTATGGTCTTTTTTTAATAACCCACACGCCTCAAGTCCTAGTATCATCCTTCCATTAAGAAAAGCTATACCTATTAAATCCATAGACGGTAATTTCGCCACCTTTCCTCCCTTTCTTTTCCGAATGAAACCATATGGATCCACTTAATACTGACTTTTTTAAGGAGTTCGATAATTTGTTTGTAGAAAATTTACACTCTTCACTTTTTCAAACTTTCTAAGTACGAAAGCATGCACCAAATCTTCAGAGAATCGAAACTCATACAGTATCGGTACTCGCCTAAAACATATCGATGAGCCAAAACTTGTGAACTCATTAAGAACTTGGTTAAAAGAAAAGTAACGGTCGTCATATAAGAACATTAGTAACCCAAAAGTGTTTTAAAGAGCGGTTTCGTGCACATTGCAGAAAATGTGCTCAAGTCTGATTTGATCGTTAAATTTTCTATCATTCTCTGTTACATAATAGTTCGCAAAGAAGATTAATGCCTCACTCTGAATCGTTGACTTATCCGGACGTCTTGGACAACCAGACAGACTTCGATGATGCGTGTAGAGTCCGGTCTGATGACCAGAACCGTCACATCCAGGAGTCGGACACGCCAGTTTGCCTTCTGGAACTATCATTAGCTCAATAAAGAGTTTGAATTTTGGCGTAAAAGTATCACCTACCTCTCCGGGTGCTCCAGTTCAGATTTGGAGATGGCATAGAAGGGGTGCATACGGATGGACTGGCGGATCCGGACGGTGGCAAAGACGCCGAGACAGGAGTTTTCGGCGGTGACTGCATTCAGAACAAAGAGCAATTGCGTGCATTTCATTAAGGATGATAAGGGCAATGCGAACGTCAACACTCACAGAGCTCGTCATCGTCGTAACCACCTCTACCGTCTGGTCCTTCGTCGACTCTGTTGTTATGCGTCCATCAATCGACATACATAGAACCTCAGGCTCAACTTTGCTAGGAGAAATAAAGTTCTGCTCGAAATTCGCCAATCTCTGAAGAAAAACGAATCATTCGCTCGATGAATACGACTTGAGGTATCCTTGTTCAGAAATGCACTTCTTTAGCAAAATTGTTAATTATTGTCAGTCTTCCTGATGGAAACTGTTTTTTCAACTCGATTTAGGATTCGTTATTCGCTCAGGCATAAAAAATTGTTATTCCTTACTAAATTGTCGAATGTCCCATATTTTGACACAACCAGCATATGCAGAAATCCCCACCTCCAAGATTTTGACAAAAAATGGTTGAAACAAAAAAGAAACGACATCGTTTTTTTACCTGGCTATAGTTACCTTTTTTTCGTAGATGACAATAAAATGAAATTAGTGGCAAAATCCACTAAGATGAGATGAAAGTATTTCTAAAAACTCAATGCAGATCCATAACTGATTTTTTGTGAGAACCAGAATATCAATCCAGCAAATATAAGTCTCTCGTAGTTTGGCTATTCCTTCTGCGCATGAAAAATTCAGAGAAAAAAGACCTCCTTTGCAGTTTTATCTCTATTGATCTGAAAGCCCCATCCAATTCTTGTTATTGTTCCTTATTACGATATTATTCTACAAATCTCGAATAGAAATAGAAAGGGTTAAACTGTTATCTATTATTTCACATCTCTATAATATCTGCTTTTCAACAGTGGTATAATTGCTTCTTACGAATTTCTCACATCTGGAGTCGCATTAGAAGGACATGATCTCTTACCTCGCTATTCATAATCGTCTCCAGCTTCACCTCGCTTTTTTTGGTGTGGGTCTCGTCAGCATTGTGGCTTATTTCCAACTGACTTGCTGCGGTCCCATCCTGAAGACCGTCATCGACCACACGTACGATATCCTTGGCTGCAATGTGGACATGGTTTGGAAAAATCGTACAATGTTGGACGGTGTGGCCGCGAATGATCAACGAAAAACGAGACATTGTGAGGCAATGTGGAGGACAAAGAATCACCGCGCCCATCATTGCGTCATGCCCTATTGCCGAGGGCAAATGTTCGCTGGTCCACATGACACACGGCATCCAGAAAAACGACGAGTCGTCAAGGTGGTGGTGAGCGGAGTGAGCGGGGTGAGCCGGCTATTCGAGGCAAGCCGACGTTGATCGCGATCGCAAACGCGAGCACATCACTCATTGCAGATTGTTTTGTCGAGACACGTGGAAATTCGACTTAGTCCTGTCAAGTGAATTCACATTGCCCACTACCGGACGTTCATCCGTTATCGACAGGAAATCTTGCGTTAAGAGCTGGAAACAAATATCGACTGAGGCACAGCTCAAGCACTGCTCACACAAAGAGCTCTTCTTCTATCTGGTATTTAGAAGCTTTTTAGCTATGCAATTTTGTGATGAAAATTTAGGTCAACTGAGAAATCGGAACGTGAAAGCATCTCGAACACTTTAAATGTTCGATAAACACCAATTAGCTTATGACAATGAAGAAGCTCTTACATCAAAAACTGGATTACAGTGGGAATCGTCAGTGTTTAGATTTCGACAAGAACTTAGGAATCGAACACTTTTCAAGTTTAATACCGACCTCAACTTTATGCAACATTACACTCCGTTAGCTTTTATTCTCAAAATGCCGCTATGTCCCTGAAACGTAACGAAGGCTAACCTGGGAAGGTAACCATAAAAGTTGTTAGCAGCAGATCTCATGAGTTCAATTTAAAACCGTATGATAGCGTAATTTTTGGAGATTTCCTATGACGCAGAACAAAGAGCTGTGATAGGGTTTTTCTAGTCCTCTATAGCTTCAACAAAGCCGACAAGGCTTACAAGAGCAATGAGCAGGATTTTAATCCTTGTGACTGCATAGGAAAAAAGAAACATTGTAAGATCACTGCGCTAAAAACATTAATGCAGTCGCCGTGTACGTTACGATCAAATTGCTCACACTGGACACAAGATGAAAAGTGCTATCCGAGAGAATTCGGAAAAAACCTTTGTCCTAAGTAAAACAGAAAAAATGTACATAGTCAGATTTTGAACTGGAAGTCATAAATCCAGTGGAAAAAATCGAAAAGCACATAAACCGAGATGAGTAATGTGCCAAAACGACTCGACAATGAATTAAGACATTTATGGAGACACGACACCTCTGTGAGAAAAGTCTGAATGGAGAGAACTAGGCGAGCGATTAGAATGAAATGGGAATAGAAAAGCGATCGAAAAATTGAAACATAACGAATAGTTCAAGAAGAAATATCAAAATCGTAAAAAACACCTTTGACTGTACTTTGCACGAGAATTTGAGGAACAATTAAACACCTACTGTCAGGTTTCCGACGACGTTTTGCCGGTGGCGCACCGTCACTTGTTGTCATTGATATTACTGACGTGACGTCGTCAGGAGTGTCGGAACCGTCGGAATGTGTTTCCACAGTCTCAGCATCGGGTGGAGTGACGGCGTCCCGTGATGCCAGTGAGCTGGAAGATCTATTAAATTCACGGAAGTCCCCAAAATACAACATTGCCTATCTCCCTGAGCTTACTACAGCCTAAATTACTCTCATCGATCCAGATGTAAAATTCCAGAGCAGCTTGAGAACTCACCTAACTAACGACAGCAAAAAATCCGGACCATAGTGACCGTTATTCGTGAACACGCCAGCCATGTTCATAATACTCGTGTCGACGAACCCGAAGAGTATGGTGACACACCTCAGCAGATTACTCCAACAGTAGTCTGGACACAGACCAACACGCTCAGTCCTCCTATAGTTGACGGTGCTGCTACTGCTGTGGTGATGGGGTGCGTCGAAGTAGCAAATAAGGAGTGGGTGAGGCGGAGCCTACGGTTGGAAGTGGGCGTGGCCAGTACGACGAGCAGCTGCGTTCCCTTCACTCTGCCAAAGAAGGACAAACGACGGCGGGACGACGGAACGACGGCTGCAATCAGAACCACCCGTCAATGTATTTCGGATCACTTCAAATATTTGAATCTTAGCAGATGGTCTCGAGTAAAACGTTCTGCTTCGAAATTTCGGATCAGGAGAAGGTACTATTTATGAAGCATCACCACACTCAACAATGGTACGAAGCCCATTTATGTAAAAACATTTACAACAATGACTAAGGGTTCGAGAAAAACGACTCGAAGTTAAAGAACACGTGAGTATCCAAAAACCCACATCTACAAGTGTATGGGTGAATTACAAAAAGTCAGAATGAAGAGTAATATTCTCTTGGATAAGCAGTACAAGTATGAAGGTATGATCCTCGAAATCTAAGGGAATCCCTCAAAAAAGAAAAAAGCCAACGCAAAAAAAACAACAACATTACAGATGTGGGAACGTCCACAAAAGAAAAAACAACCGATATTATTACAACGATCGAAACGCAACACTTGGACAATTTCCTCTAGACAGATATTCCTCAGGTATCAAACGAATCCAAGCTGAAATCGACCAGTTTCTCTGGTTTCGTTTGCCACTTGCCGAAACCTGCTTCTTCCATCTGAACAGAATGGTTTGTGAGTGAGTAAAGATGAGCAGACGACATGGAAAAAAGTGTTATCTATAAATGGACCTACACCTACTTTCTTGTAAAGTGAATTCTTCGCCTCATTGTATGCAACTGCTCTTTGCTTTGCTTCCATGTACGTGCTGCATTTCATGTCCTCGGAAGCCAGTTTTAAGAACGCCTGAAGGAATACATGATTCAATGAAGGCAGTCCACGGACTAAATGAAAACTCCAAAAACTAACTTCAAAGATCGCTGCTTTACATAGGCGAGAAGGCGACCCTTTATTAGTACGACCGGATTCAGGATTTAACATCTCTACATGCTCCATCTCACGGGTCCAAATATGGGAAGGTGATGTCGACAAAACAATGTTGCTCTAAAGGGGTTCCAAATAAAACCTTTAGAAATTTGACAAGATGAAGTCATTTCCTTAAAATATACTTTAATCGACTCGACAATGAATGGACGATTCTGTGCCTCTAGTCTTCCGAACAACGCGTGCTTCAACGAAGCATCAGATACTGGAGCACAACTGCCAAAGTAGATTGAATGTGGTAGAATTGGATGCATCAACGTCGACAGCAACGCTCCTTGTACACCTTAAAAAAGATTCAAGGTGACAATAACCATCAATATATCAGCAAGCTGGGAACTACCGTAGTTTAGCGGACCCGAGACGAAAGTTTTCGCGAATAAGGAGTGGGGAGAGCGCGTGAGAGAAATCGCGGCTGTCTCTGAGGGCCAATTAGACGACGCGTAAAGTTTTCGGCAGTCACTTTCTCTGCCAATTGCAGCCCAGCTGAATAACTATCGTAGTCGTAATCCCTATAACAATGAAGCCGCTAGGAACCCAGGAAAATTCTAAGTGAATTATATTAACCTATTAAGTAACGAAGTCTAGAATTCAACGTCTAAACCACTCAACTGTAGTTAAGATGTCTACGCCCACGAGGTACACATTCCAGTAATCATTCTCTCCTACACTAATTCGACAAACGAATCCACTGCCATCACGTTAGGCAATTAATTATTTACCGACTGCATGGCGCAATATGTAACAAGAGACAACATGAACTCAAATCGTGGATATTATTTGATCAACCCGCGGTCATTTTTCGGAGATTCGTTAAAGCAAGCACCTGCACCTAGCAATTTGACGATATTTTAATGAAACGAAAACGTGTTGTAATTGCTTCATCCACATTTTTAACCACGTCTTCGTGTCCAGAAACACGTTTTCGAAGTCTCCAACATGGAAACTCGATGCTCCAGTAAGCTAGGCGTGCGGTTGGATAGCCATCAAACTGCCGATCACTATTTCACTCTCTTCATGCTTCTATTACTCTTCGTTACGTGAGCAGTTTTCGCCTTCATTCGCTCAATCTTAAAATGAAGAAGCGCGGATAACGCAAAAGCAGCCTTCGCTCAGCAAGTGGGAAATTGGATGGAGCAGCGAGTCGAGACAGCAGTAAGCCATCTCTGGTATGCCAACCACTCGTACGTCTGCTATTCTCCTTGACACGTAATCAACATGCAAAAATTAAGAGAAGCGACGATAACTCCTGCTCGAAACATCCAATCCGCATGTCATTTCCCAAATCTTATTCGCTCGTACGATATATTTGGAACAAATAGAGTGGACGACATAACGAGAGAAAATTGATTCAGAACCTTGAGAACAGCAAGAGTGAAGAAAATAGGAAATAGACATGTTCATATTTGAATCATCCCTCTAGTTTCGCCCTTTTAACAAATTCGATACACGCCCTCACACTCGTAAAAATCGAGAGCAAATGGTAAACTCCTCGAACGTCATTAGGTGAGATACTCAAGTACAATGGAACGATGTTTTGACTACACAACGTCTTACTCCTATTTCGTCTGCTGCCAAAGACTTGTTAAGCTCCACCTAAGCCAAACTCATTACATTCACCAACGAAACCACATAAATCACTAACTGGCCACAGACGATGCGCCTCTGCATACGTCGAGAAAAGCTCGATTATAAATGGCCGGAGGAAGTTGCCTCTTCGTCAAGAGTTTAATTAGCACTGAGATTTGCGAACATTGATATGGAACCATGCCTAGGAGAACAAACAGAAGAAATATATTTCATAGGGAAAGAAAAACTATTTAGTTATGCAATAGATGTAATATGAAAACAGCTGAAAATCAAAATCGGCTTTTTCCGGGAGAATTCTTGCAGTTCTGTAAAAGCGATTCTGAAAGACCTGTTTTCCGTTCCTTTCATTGAGTGCCGAACTCTTAATTATCATAAGAGACAGATAGTTTACAGCTCAAAATTTCTGATCGACAAGCTGCACTTTGCAAACCATAGTAGATTGTGCATTGTGCAAGTACGACTTCTCCACCAACTTCTTCTATTGCTCAAAAGGGTTCTCTTTGAATATTCATAGGCCAATTTCAGATAGACGCCAGAGCGCTGTTTAATAGCACTTATAGCACAGTGTTCTCAATATTTTGGCGATCGTCGCAATAACTCTACTCTTCACCCACGGCCACAGTTCGAACAAACTCGAGTTGTTTTCCTCGCCATCAACTTCCACTACGGTAGCTCTAAATGAGGGATGGATACACATTCAGAGAAAACAACGAGGATACCCGGACAACAAAGCGCATTGCGTCCAACAGTGCTAGCATGATAATATGACCGTATGGACTCTGAACGGAAAACTTTCGCCATGAACGGAGAATAGTACAACAAATATTATGGTTTGCTTGTCACTTTCATAACAATTAATAGCTTTTTTGAATCGATTTTCAACTTCACAACAACGATGAAAAAAGACGCATAACAGTAGTGACTGTAGGATCCTTAGTGTAACAATTAAAGCCATGAGCTGCTATACTATTTATTCGCATTTCCACTACATTTTATTAATTTTATCACATTGCTCTACCGTTTAATTCCACGTCCCTTTGGGACAACATATTCATGAAAAAGACTAAGGCAGCCAGTTTGACGGAAGGACTAATTTCAACAACGCGAATGAGTTATATTAAATTATGGAAATTTTCTGGAATTTCTCAACACTACACACTCATAGCCCGTTACTACTTTATCCCTTAATAAGTCATTTCATTCAAATATTCGATGGTCCATTTCGTCACATTTCCCTTTTGCCCTTTCCCATACCCTCACATTAACCCTAACTCCAAAAAACTGGCCTACTCAGAAAGCGGATTTTTGGCACCATCTGCCGAATATAATTCATCTGTGGTTACGGCAAGATGTTCTTCCTTATATCCTGGACGACGACGACCCGGCTTTAGGCAGGTGATTCAGACCGGACACCGTCCTAATTGCTGATGTTGTAATGCGAGTACGCATACCGAGCGCCGGCAATGTGCCAAACTCGATCGTATACACACCTGTCGTCCAAAGAGACTGAACAATCACCATAGCTTACCACCAACTCCCACCACTAGTACCACTAACACCACGTGCACAAACCAAAATCATAGCCGAATACAAACCTAGCAAAGCTGCTTTCGCTATTGTGACTCGTTTTACACCAACAGATGGGCAGTGTCCACAATTTGACTTGTGACCCGACCTCTGAACTCAGAACTAGCAGCCATATGGTTAACGGCTTCATTCAACCATCACAAATACCATGAATATCGCAAGGTGCCTACACAGTCAAAATTCTTGAACAATGAAAACGCTGATCATTATCTTAACCTAATAAGTGAACTGAAGATTCAGGTCTTTATCCCAGTAATAAGTTAATCTTTATAATAAGGCGCTATTAATGAATAGTAAATAGTTCTAATTCACCGCCTTCCTAAACATGTCAGAAGTTTTCGACTTGGTCGATTAATTCCATACCATATTTCATACTCATTTTCCGAAATTACCAAGGATTGAAATTCAGGACACCATTGCTTTCCCACGTCGCTGGAACAAGGGATATTCCAAAACAACACCAATATGTCTAATAAAGCCATCCCCGAATAGACTTTAGAAGAGAATCGATTATTCCGGGAAATCAATGTAATTAATTTTGAAAAACCGAATGAAACGTAATGTACCTTCGTATCGCTCATACACGCTGACTGGTTGGATCTTTGCTTTTAGCCTAACTAAGCCTAAATGATAGCATGCATGATCCATGTAAATCATAACTTGGCGCTCATGCCATACTTTATCTAAAAAGTAGTAGCCAAGGAAGAGACTACCCATGACAATCAGACCAATAACGGTAACGGTTGCGTGATGATACAGCACGACTGGGCGAGTGTCGTCAGCTTGCAAACACTAACATAATATACCATCATGTCCGCAGACAAACGAACTGTCACCAATTATCCACATCAATAATCTCCTCAGTGATGGAGCAAACATTCAACTTGGCTCATTCAGATTCCAATTCTCAAAGGATGTGACAACTAACGCCCGTACGAGTTGCGCATAATCACCGCCACTTAGATCGCTAATTAGCTAGCATCAGTGCAGCACACTCTTAGTCAATTGACAGACCCAAGACCACTTCATGAATGAGAAAACGTTAACTTCAGAATCCACAAATTTCTCAACAATAAGCACAACTAACTATACTTTTGAAAACCTAAGTCCGCTTTTGTGAAACAATCTAAGAATTCAGATAGAACGACTACATTTCACCTTAAATATGACCTCTTACACGTTTTCTTTGACGGAATTTTGCACCCCTCAGATTTTGAAAACCAATTTTCACGTAGCAAAACTTTCTAGAAATCATAGAATCGCATGAAGCTGTAGCATACAAGAACAACAGATGTAGTCCTGTAAGCACCTTACAGCTCGAAACTATAGAGTAACAAATCATTGTAACAGCACGTATTTCAAAAAGTGCTGTAGTGACATCTTCATTAATTATATTCATGGAAACTACCATAATATTTCCCTCAAGCAAAAGCGCTCATTTCCCACATTTTATTTTTACTTATTCTACATGGTCCATCATCACTTCTCCTGTGTGCGCCGATCCAAGCACTTCTTGAAATCGATTCGTTTGATCGCATCTATCATCTTCGCAGGCCTTCGAACATGTCCGTTCGGCTGCTGGTTGAGGATTTCTTCTTTGTGAATACATAGAATCTTAGTTAAGTTTTCTTCTTGCAATCTTGGAGACAGTCGATCTAGAGAACATTCCCAGGTAGACCAGCAGCATTCCCTTCTCCTCTCTGCATCATTATACGTAGAGCAATACCAATTGATTACTAGTCGAGTTAAAAATATGATAATAACACAAAATCAAATGCCTTTCTTCACACTCTCATTAAAAACACCTCTGTATTCTAAAAATCACAAAGGAAAAAACAAATAGCTAACTTCCATTGCACATTCCCAAAAACAGTTTGAATCTTAAGCCAAAGTGTCACGGCTCATAGTAAGGTCGGATTGACGACGACCACCTGGCGCCATGTGCATTTGTGTGGAGTGCTCTATCAACTCGCTTTAGCTACCTCACTCGACTGACCTTGCCCACACGCCGTACATGGGCGCATTAATCACACGCAACCCTACTCTACATCGTTACCGTATCGCAAAGAACGACAGTAAGCCTCAATTACAGCGCCATTTCGGTCAAACAAAGCAAGTTCAAAACGCTGCCAAAATCTCCTGGATTCATATTTGATCCTACATAACTGAGCAAAAAAGTGAGAGGAAGCAAACTGATGCATTAAGAAGTTAAGGTGAATATACTAGAACTTTACTAGACAGAACAAAAATGGAATATTGGTAAAAATACCTATGTTATTCCACTTGAAAATTTTATCAGCCACGCAATGCACATTGAGTACTCCACTTTGTTCAATATCTGTCATTGTTTGGACGTTATCAGGAACAGGGCACAACTGGAACTTCGGGCTGAAAAAAAAACCTGTAGTTGGTCCGCAAATTGGTGTAGATTTTGAAATTTCTAACACCGATACTTCCTTAAAATTAAAGCTTCATATCACTTTATTTACTGGTACGTGCCTTTCAACAGAACATCTAACTCCATACTTGTACTCCCATATTTTCTTATCACACGAATTTTTATTATTTTTAAGTTATTGAAATAAAAACGGAAGAGTAGGGAACTGAGCAAATCTTTGGCACGACTGTAATAAACTTTAATGTAAGGTTACGTGGACTTCTCACGTTACACTTGACAATGGACCTATTAAGCGCAGTACAATAATGTAGTACAATGACGTTCTTGAAAGAATTCTAGTGGGGATAACAGCCCAGAATTAAGACATTGAAGAATTACCGGATAGCAATGATAACAACCATATGAAGCTGTTTACTAAAGCAGATCCACGCACAACAGTTCGAGAGTTTTCGAAGCAAACTGGTTCCAGAGCTCCCGACTGTTTTGTGCTCGTTTTCCACAACAAAAAATGTGCTGCTTCTTGGTAATAGCTTAAGGGCACAAAAAATGGGTTCCCTATAACATCTAACATTATTCGCGATGGTTAGACAGATATGAGGCACCGGAGTACTTCCCTACGCAAATTTGCATCGTTTAGGAAGTTAAGGTGACTTTTAGATGGTGAACACACGTAGTCATCGATTATATCATACTATATTCAACTGGAACCAATACTGCGAAAAAATCGGAAAGCCATGAATGGACAAAATATGCTTGGACCGCAACGTCTACGACCGGCAATGATAAGCCGAAAGGAACTCACTGCCTCCCACAACAATAACCGAACACGGGTCCCCTCACAAATACGGCAGATGAAAATAAGAAAGAATTGCCATAACTGGCAATTTCTCACATATTTCGAAAGCCGCTTGCATAGACGTCCTTAATCAACTCCTAGGTAATTCATTAGCTCTGGAAGTACAGATTTTCGTCAAGATGAAACATATGTGTTTGGGTTCTATTCAAAATATTATATATACTTTAACTTACTTTATTCGGATTATCAAAATCTGTAAATTGTGCACATTTCAAGCAAAACGTTTAAAAACGATTTTATTTTACACACAACCCAATACCCCTCCCAACGGTTCACCGCATCATCGTGGCTGGGAGGTGTTCTTAGGTGTGGGACTGCGATGTACAGCGGGGATTGGCCCGCCGGGAGGGTCTTCCAAGCTGAGAAGCCACCGGACTGGTATCAGAGTCGTATGGTAGCAAATCTCCCTGTGATCCACAAGGGCTGCGACTGTCCGTCGTGGTGACGACCTAGGCCATACTTTGGCCAGGCTGTCCTCGGGATTCCAGGGAACCACAATGGCTTAACCAGCAAATCACTGAAAAATAGAGATTACGCTGGGACCTGCACAACTAGTGAGGAAGAGCCGTTCAAGTACCAAGTAAATAAGTATAACCCAATACTGGGTGAATAGTCAGTGCGCTACCACTTTACTAGAAGAACGCGACTAGGGCTGACACCAGCCACATCTCTCACAGACAAATTCTTCTCACTTCCTAATGAACTAGATAAAAGTGTAGTACCGCTGGAACGGCTTAGTCTGAACAACCGTTATAAATAAAAAACCTCGTACCACAGTAAAAACAGAGTAACTGAAAAAAGATATAAGCAATGTACTAGTTGCATTTATTTAATTGAAAAAAAGCATATCAAAACTTGGAGGAGGAGAATACCATCGTTGCTTTTTTCTTTTCAATTCTTACTCTCGTTTGATTCCCTTCGATGTCACAGATCTCTTTGAAAATTTCCTGTAATTTGTTGGAAGTTCAAGTGGAGAGACTACTCACTTCTTTACGGAAATTAGAACGGTCCTTCGAGGCATTTCACGAGAAAAAAAAGCAGACTTCTTTTATGTTTGAAAACAGCAATAGTGGTTACGACCACCTGCATTGTGCGGCTCAATTCTTAGTTTTTACCCATTGCTAAACTAAGTGCTTCACGGCAGATGTTCACAATGAGTTTATTGCGATGTTATTTTCAAACTTCGACAACCATCACTGAAACCGTTATTCTAAATAACAACATACTAAGTGGGTAAACCACATACTTACGTGAATAAATCTATATTAATAAACCACTGCGAGAATTCCTTAGTTTGAAGCATCAAAGGATCTCCTATATGTACACTATAGCCTACAAAAGGGTAAAATCCTATAAAGAAACCCCGTTTTTCTGTGAGAAAGCCATAAAATTCCACCCGAGAAGTGACCGTTTCCACACGATATATTTTCACTTGAACACAAGACTTCAACAAAAGATGCGTCCATTATCACTTCAGTTAGTTCAGCCACCACGGTAAGCAACTACACGGTAATAACCTCGCAATTTCTCCAATTCGCAAAGTACGCAGAGCAAGAGAAACACGACACGCTACTGTAAACAGTACACATGTTCAGATTTCAGCAAGTAGCAATCGTTGTAGAACGAGCACCCACGGGAACCATGCCGATTTTGCTCCGGAAGAGCTTGAAAGAACGCGCACCGCCAAAATGGCTATCGTCGCCTTTGGACGATTGCACAATCCCTATTCTTTCATTTCCTCCTACTTTTCTGCCGTCTTCTGCACAACGTCAGCTGGTCAATCGAACAAACGCAATGGACACTCAAACAATTACGACCGCAAACGGGTGCAATAGCAAGCGGCCATCACGAGTGCAGACCTCAGGAAAATAAGGAGAGGGATCGAAAAATCAGTGCGGTTTTTCTGAAGGGAAAACTAGTACGAATAATCATGGACTTTTTAAGCCCTACATTTTGTCTACATTTGATTTTTTCTTGCAAACTGCAAATTACACAATCGAAAACCATCAAAACCCTACGACACTTTAATCTAATGTTTCAAAGCGCCACTGATCTTCACAATCTCGGTCATCAGAAAATCGTCGAGGAAGAAAAATAGCAACGCTATAGATATTTCGCACCTTTAAAACCAAAAAATCCCCATTAGCGCAGAAGAAATGTGAGAGGTAAAAGGGATCCAACTACAAACTAGTTGAAATCAACTAACTGTTTCTCATTATCTTCATTTTACACAAGATTAATTACAGCTAGTGATTGTCCTCTCGCATAATTACACCATCATTTGAGGATATCACCGTGTCCGGCCTAGGTCAGTGTGCCCCTTCATGGTCATTTGTTCTTAGTGATCATGGGAACACTCATAAACGATAATATTGCTCAGCTTCACTACAAAATACTACATGCTCAAACCTCAAGAAAAAACCAAGATTAATTATGTCAGAAATCCGTAACTGAACTACTGCTTCGAAAAACGCAAACAGTAGTGGAGATGGCTTTGAGCGATAGTTGTTGGTTTTATGTGAATTAGATTTTAAACGCATCACTATGGCAAAAAACACGCATTACAGATGCGAAGCGTGTGGAGAAGACAAAAGTCAATTTGCGAATGCCATGTCACCATCAAGACGACAAGGCATTGCCAACCAAATCGTATGGCTTCATTTCGAAAACGCGAAATGCCTTTTCTCAGTCAGAAAGCTCTTCGCCTATTTTCGACAACGGATCTTGACTGAACGACAACGCTCAAGTCCTCACTGCCCATTGGCTACGTAAAGGGTACGGAAGAAACGTCATGCAACTTTCCAACTTAAATCGCATTCAGTTTGACATGCCTTTCGAAACAAGCTAGTCTTGGAGAATCTAAGTTTCATGTGCTGTTTTACGCCTTCATATTTTCAAAAAAAAAATCTCTAAATATGAGCACTTTTCTGAACGAAGAAAGAAAATCCTTAGCCAAACACGTCAGCAGCCGTTACTTCGTCAAATGAATGTGACCTTGTCAATTTACATAACTTTCAAACAGAACAGATCGCACAGAGGCATATTTTGCTTATTTGTGAGTATCGTTGGTGAGCTATTCATGTCACAACCAAGAAACTCGTAGAAGCATAGACGAGCTAGAATAAAAATTGTTCCATACCATCTTATCCTAGAAATCTGTAATAATAGAAAATTCTCTTCGCAAACTCGCATTCCCAATTATACATTAACATTTACCATACGTATTGTACACAAATAACACGCAAATAAACATACCAAAACCAATTTTTTCAGGAAATTCTGGTACAAGTGCGTGCACATGGTGCGAACATAACGTCTGCCTCCAAACCAACGTCTCCTCCTCCGTCTGCCAGCATATCCAGCTTATACAGAACTTTATCAATTTAAATGGAACCATTTCTCACTTACTTAATACTTGGTTCGAGAAGCGTAATGTTAGAGATGTTGGGCAATAACACGCGCAAGGTAGCTGGTTCGAACTCGCACAAGAATAACCACGGTTCCCATCTCTTCGGGGCATGGAAATTGGTAGCAAATCAGCCTGGGAAGAACTTTTCTCCAATCCACAACAGCTGGCGATTACCTGAGATTACAACCTGGGAAAGCTCTAGCACAGTTATTCCGGGATTCCACGGAGAATCAATTCGACTAGTGTTCAGTGGTGTTCATAGAGAAGAGCAAAATCCTCAAACAACAGCGAAACCCACGCGCTAATCCAAAGACCTTCGTCGATTATAGATGCGATAGAAATAATTTTTTTTCTTCTCTGAAGCCCATTTTAATCCCATAATTTCTTATACACAAAAAATGACATTTCGTAGCTCATATAACAATACGGGAATGAAGCATCGAATGAGTGAAAATGAAACCGAACCCCTTGCAACTAAATTTTTGCATGACTATGACGAAGATTTCCTGTATGATTTAGCTGACACAAGGTTGGTGTGTCAGGCTCCTGTTAACCTAGTATCAGCTCAATCATGAGAAAAACCATTGTTTATTCTCCCCCAGGTTTAATGGAAGTCGATTTTTAAGATATAACGAAAATCTACCAATTCACTGAAACATTAATCAAAATATAGGGAACCAGAAGCGTCAACTTCGCAGTACTGCTCAGGGCAACGAGTTTATGTGCATTAAGTATACATAAAACGGGACGAGAATTGGTCGCCAAGTTACTTTGACGAATCGAATGTGGTAAGAAAAAGGCATTTATACGAGCAATACGGCCCCAAATTACTAAAAGCAATAGCAATATTGGGAAGTTACCAACAGATTTGTTCCCCTCTGAAGGGATATGGCAAGATCAAAATGGCTTCCCAGTGTTTTACACTATCCCTAAAAATTCAAAATATTCCCATTGATGAATGTATGATTACATCCGTCACGAAATAATTGGCTGTTTTCTAACTTAGATCAACATCATAGCCAACTTTAGAAATCGAAATAGAAACAGAGTCTAGAGATCTTTGCCGACCAAACACACTTTTCTTATCCAATTAAGATGTAGCTTCGACTTTCTGAAACGCATGAAGCGGACTTTTTTTTTACCAATTCTTAGTCAAGGCTCGCATTTGGAACACTAAAGCAACTGAACATTTCGTCCAGCTGAGTATAATGCAGTTCTCTTCTGTTTGCAGCTGCAACGGATCTGTTCGAAGCTTTAAAGATCCAAATTTCCTTTTCGGTATCATAGATATTTTGACTCTAAATAATTTTTAAGTTTTAAAAGCATTTTTAAATAAATATATGTGCTCCTACGAATATCGAGTAAAGTATCTTTTGCAGGTATTCAAATCCTCAACTACTCTAATGAACGAGCAGTTGTTTCGCCGAAAAACCAGCTTTGTCATTAATGTGTTAAAAATCAAAAGTAAACCTCTTCAGAATACCTCTATTTATCAAATACTACTTGCTCAAGTGTAAAATAAGTTACCCAAGATAGCTGAGCTTTTTCACTGCCGCCTCACTACAGCTGTACGAACAATTCGGAGGGTAAGTGGCATACAACACCAGTCTCAAGCACTCATTCAAGCGCAACATACCGTCTTCGTCACGGACAAAAATGCATTTTGGATCTCCCACTTTCGCCGCTTCAGTGATAAGATACCTGAAACCCGATTTCTCACAATTTTTTGACCATCGATGCCATTTCCAATAAAACCATATCATATGTGTAATCTTTAAAGAAATATTGAAAAAAACCTAAGAACAAGGCCAACCTTATCAAAGAGCGTCTTGCTAGGACAATCGGGTCAAAATGTATGATTGCAGTGCCCCTCGCAGTTCCTACGGTCTGGCCATCTACAACTCCAGGACGCGAAGAAGCGATTGCTATCAGCCGCTTTTCAGCTTGGTCGTTAACGAAGAAGAACCTTTAACGAAGTTTTTAGGTTTACTAAAGAATATAGAAATTTTGTGCCTCTATTGGAAGTTAAGCAAAAAACTTACGCTGCAACTTCAGTGCTATGTTTGACGGCATAATAACTGCACATGCCGTAGTAATCACGTTTAGAATACTCAGACACCTAAAGAATATGACCCTACCAAGAGTAGACAAAGCATTGGCAAGCAAGACAATTATGAAAAAAAAACATACATCAAGACACAATTGTGAACATCCATGACCTCGGCCACGGCGCCCTCTTACGCTAGCCTCAGCCATGGCCATTGACTCGGGATTGTTGTAGTCAAACTAAAAAATTGAACCACTGACAATCTACAACTGTATACAAACATAATGACCATTTCAAAATTTCCGAATTAAGTTAATGAAGAAGTGCTGCGAAGTGATAGTATACCATGAAAATCTTTTTGAGAGCAAGAAGAGCAGCGTCGTTTTTAGCTGCTTTCTTCGATTTGCCACAGCCGATGAATTCTTCTTTATCGTTAATGATAAGTTTGCTCCTGAAATTAAACTTTACTTTACTATCCGAATATCATGACATTTCAGTAAGTCTATATAACTCGAAATTCACTTCTACTTTTTGAGAATGTTTGATGGCAAAATGTGCAGCTACTTAGGCTTTCGTGCTTAATTTAGTCTATCACATGTAGTCTGTGTAATTTAATTCGTGCAGAAACAATACCATCGATGACCTATTCAAATAACTACGGTACAACACATCAGGTTCTCAACAAGATGGAATGTCTTATTAAGAGAACAATTTATGTAGGCTCGGAGCTGGTTAACACGAGCAGCAGTACTCCACAATTAAGGTGTGAGTATGTATCATCTATAGTACAGCATAAATACTACAACATAGCACATATTCATTTAGTTACTTGGATACTTGGATAGCCCGTCTCACTGGTTGTGTGGGACCCAGTATAATTTCCACTTTTTCGGAATTTTGCTGGTTTAGCTATTGTGGTTTCCTGGAACACCGAGATCACCCTAGCCAAAGTCTGCCCTAGGTCGTCACCACCACAGACAGGCGCCACTCTTGTGGATCAGAGAGAGAGACTTGCCACCACCATGCAATAGTTTGATATTAGTCCGGTGATGGATCTTGGTATTGGCCTACTCTTAGCTGCGCTTCCTAATGGGAACGCCGGACTCCTTTTCAGCTTGCTAGACCCTGCTGGGGAGATGAATCCCCCCGCTGTACATCACCGTCCGATACCCAAGAACACTTCCAAGTCACGATGAGGCGGCAAACTGTTGGGAGGATATATTCATATACTGTCTCATATTATGCAATAATTTGCAGTTTTGCATATTACGAGCCGAGTGCAATAAAATCAAGCACCAAATCATGTAAATCAACGGTTTTGGATAGCAGCCTAGATTCCTTAGCTTTATATCACCATTTTGTATAAAGCTTACTCGTTACTAGTTCGCACCTTTTTCATTTACTTTCCTCGTGTTCCGTGTAATCCCACTGCTTTGATAGCAATACACCTGCGAAAACTTCCGATTTACGTGGGCGGTCGCCTGGGTCTATGACTCAATTATTCATGAAGTGCCGCATTTACCTAACCTAATGCATACCCTTTTCACTAGCAACCATCTGTGTTATAGTATTTGTACCGTCAGTAAAAAAGAATTGCTGCAAAATTCTCGTATTTGGATCTATGCAGCGGAGATCTTTGTAGTACCCTCCTCATCTGTGGTGTTCTCCTGACCGTGAACATCATAATAGCCTTCCAGTCAATAACAATTCTTTAGAAGCACGAAAAACTCCAAAGTTTCGTAAAATATAAAGTGTAGAATATAGCTTCTTCCTAACAACGTCTAGAAAAACATTGGCGAAGAAGAAACTGAAGGCTGAATTACAAAAACTGCGGGAAAAAAGCTAAGTGACAAAGCAATGTATGTCTGTCAATTTACTCCTACATGTATATTAAGATCAGTAAATACGGTCGTGAAAACGTTAACAGCGACAAAGCACTTCATATACAAACAATGAGAGAACAAATAACTTTGTAAATCCTAATGAAAACTTATTCTTCAAAAAACCCACTTGAATATCATTCCCATTTGATTCACGGATTCATCAACAAGGCCCAAGTCCTCGTATTTAATGTTTGGAGTAACCTCAATTAAAAAAAACGGTCTTCAGGCTCATTGAAAACATCATACAAGTCAGGACTGCCAAAAACACCAAGTGTTCATAAAAATAAAAAAAGCTATCAATACCGATCTATTTTGTTTAGCGAGTAGAACATGTAATTTCTGACACGGTGGAACCGGCTGTTCTATAGCAGGTTGCTGCTCCGCAGTCACAGCGGGTGGATCAATATCAAAATGAGATCTAAATACGTTACCATGATGTAAACTACGGAGATAACTAAGGTAGAAACTCTCTTCAGAAAACCATCTTGCATAAATTGTAATAATTTGTAACATAGAGCGCTTTGGATGACATGAACCATAGTTCTCATCTTTCCAGAATTCCAGATACAGATGCTCTAAGTTTAATAACAATATTCGGAAGGTTTCAGACGCAAACCTGAGTAACTCATGTGCTACATATTCCTTAGCCTCATGCTTCGAGCGACTTGGAGGCGATGTAAATTCAACCGTTTTACCACCCACTGCAACAAAACACTATGAACTAATCATTTTTTCTAAAAATTCGCTAAGGTATTTGATTGATTTTAAGCCATTCTCCAGTACAGGATTCCACTATCGAATTCACGCACCGGAAACTGTTTCCCGTAGCTGGGGGACCCCTTGGACAGTATGACTAAACAATCTTTGCGTTATCCAGACGTTTGTGAAAAAAGTGGGTCCCCCATGCGACGTCTTTTCCCTCGCTCGTCACTGACCAGTTTATTGGAAAGTGACTGGGGATCCACTGGTATTTTGAAATACACTGCCTTTTGATTAAATAAGAATCAAATTAGGGTCAAATGCCATGAATGTGGTAACTCCAAACATATAAGAAACCATTAAGGTAAAATCCAGCCAAATCTCTGTTTAAGACCTAGCAAAGGACTTCACTGCATTTCACTTACACGATCGATATGAACACAATTACAACAAAGGTGTCACGTCACCCTTTTGTTTCATATCTCTCGGACATTATTACAAAATTCGTCAGAACCCTTGGGCTCAAGAGGAACACCAAATGAATTGAAATAGTGCTAAATTTCTTTCACCAGCACAAAACCAATGAGGTTGAAAAACTGTGAACTGTTGTAAATTCCTAGAAGTATCACCAATCTTCCGTATGAACACGAAGTAGTAAGCTAACAATGCACAACTGACGGGAATTGTTGATAAAAGAGACCTACTGTTAAGAATCAACAAACACTGGGGTGACCCCAAATAAAGGGAGCAGTAAACACCTTTATTCTAAACCGTTTCAGTGAAGAGAAGCGGTTCTTGGCCCGTGGTTATAGCATCACGACTGCAGAGGAATACCGGTGATATGTCAGATATACCGGTGTCAGTAACTATCAGTTACTGTCTGCAGTTATCGACAACGTCCATTCGTTGTTAAAATCCGCAGATTAAACCATTTGATTAAACCCTGTTCTGTAGTTAAAACTAACCTAAACCTATACACGAAAGTACTCATTGCAAAAGTTCAGCAAATCCTTTTTCATTCTTGTTCATACATATATCTTTTATGAAAATGGACATCGATAAAATGATTTTTCACGTACGTAGAGCTAAACGAACTACCCACTTGACCCTAATCTGACCCAACAGTCCTACAGTTTCGAAAGAAAACAAGTAGGAAACAATAGTAAGCAGTGTTAAGTCGGAGGAAGACGCCCTCCTAACGATCCCGTCACTCTCCATAACAGCCCCTCACTTCCTTTCCACCGCGGGCGTTCGGTCAACCTAGCCCTGACATGGTTAAAATGCGAAGAGTTCGTACACCATGTCTGGGAGATCCGCTCGAGGAGGTAAGATAGTTACCATTTGATAGCCAGAAGTTTCTAATCAAGCTCAAAACATTAATGAACAATCATTTCAGGAAGATAAACCTCTGCCATCTTATAATCGTGTTATTAATACACAAGGGGCAGGGCCATTGTGTTGCCGCACCAAAGAAAACTGAAAAGCGAAAAAAGGTTTTAGATTGGAAGCGACAACAAAAGGCCAATAGGGCTATAGATGACCACTCTGCATCGAAGAGAAAATTTTGAAAACAATGACGAAAAATGATGAAGTGATTGAATTGTGCTCATCCATAGGGTCAGATTAACATCGTCCCTTCTGAAATAGCGACGATGGTTAAGCTCAGAACTCCGATGACAGTCAATGGAAAACAAGAATATTCAGCTTAATCGGAGTTCTGAGAAATGAGAGAGAGAAAAGAACGTAGGGCAAAAGCAAAATACTGGAATGATCGGTGAGAGTGCAGACGGCGACAAATGGCGACGGAGCGTGGCCAATCGCCTTCTGCTCAGTGGCGATGTCTACCTTGAATGCGACTTCGCAACCGCACAGATGAGCGACTTGATACAGCGTCTGGAAGAGGGATTGGGCACATAATCCACCTAAGATAGGAAAAATTAGACTGCGAAACCTGAATTATGGGCATATCGGTGAGCTTTCCCATCAAATGACGGCGAACGATACGTCGAATCTCTGTTTGTGACACTTTAAATAGGTCCAACAATGCCTGTAAAGTAGGTTTTGTTAGCTCGATTAAAAGTACCAAACGCAATCTATTGTCTGAATTCTACCTCGCGAACAGCTACATCTCTCGTGCATATCTTTCCAAAACCCTCATGCGTGTAGATCTTACCTTGTTCAGCAAAAGTTAACGTTGCCCTAGGAATAAACAGTACAGTAACAAAGCGCAGATGACAAAAATATCCACAAAGTGAGGATATAAAAACACTAGTACCGGAATTTTCGTTTGTCACCAGGAGTAGCACCGCTTTCAGTGATATCCACAATATCAAAAACAGGATTGAAAGGACCCTCCGAAACACGTTCAGCACAGAGCTTTCGCAGACAATCTAGCAGCGACAGAGCTGATTCCAGAGCAGTCAGCTAAAATTGATATCAGGTTTATTCCCAACAACATTTCTTCTGAAAGGAAACTATGTTGTTCTTGACACTCTCTGGTTGTATGTATGTTACATCAGTATATTTCAATGATTTTGAAGAAAAAATGTAGATAGTATGAAGAGCACAATTAAGAACTCTCACTACTACAAAAATTGACGAAGTTGCGCACACATTTGGATGACTTCTCTCCACACAGAATCCAGTAGATCCCCATCGAAATTTCGTCTGACCCCAATTTTTTGCAGAATGCGGATGATTTTTGGAGATGGTCGTATAATATTGTCCGTAAGCTGCCAGCAATTCTTGGAGATCGGAGGGAAATTTCTCGCATAGTTTTCTTTAGAGCACCCCTAGGTCATCACAAATCTTCAGAATCAAAAGGGATTTGCGACATTGTGTTTAACTTTGTTCTCGAGAGCGGCCTAGTATAAACTCTAGCTGGTAATTTTAAACTGTTGAAATTCTCACGATGAGTGACCATAACGCGAAGATGAACCACTGCCCTACATTGTAGTTTGATTTCCAGAACATCCTTTCTCCAAAATGAAATGGTAAACCACCAGTGTGGTTGTAAACAGAGCACAACGACAAAAAAAATAACGACAAAGTGTTTCTTACCCTGATTTTTTTTGCAGGTGGTGCACCTTCGCCGTCAGATTGTGGAACTGGACGCCGAGCTGGTTGAGCCGGAGTCACCGCGTCAGTAACGACCGGCTGAACAGTTACGCCATCCTCGAACGGAGTTATGTTCAGATCGGGACGAAGAGTACGCAGAGCTATTTCTGCTGTCTTCTATAAAACAATTGGAACACAAGATTAGAACCAAGGACAGTTAGATAGTTTAGCATAAAGCACATTTCCTTCTTAAAATTATTGAAAGAAGAATTATGAACTGATAAATTGGAGTGAAAAACGTACCTGTTTAGCAGTTTTTTTAGCGGGTGCAACCATTGAAAATTGTTGATCAAGGACAGTGAGAATACAACGATATGCCTTCGGATGAGAAGCTACTTCTTCATAACTGAAAGACGATGGTAATTCATGAGAAATGGCACAATGGAAAAACTTTGCCTTTTAGGCAGGCTCATGAATTTTTCCGAAGAATACACACGTCTCTGAAACGTCTTTGAACAACTCGTGGAGCAACATCGCAGGAGTCTTCCCCGTTGGATCTGTTTCCTTCTTTGTCTTCTTAAAGAAATGTTGGCCAAACTAAAAAAAAATCGTCGTAGACAATGTCGCTTGTGGAAGTATTCATTTTATGAAATCAGATCACTGTAGATGCCTTTTGACAATACGTTTACGTCATTTTCTGCCAACTAGACTGTACTAAGCACAAAACTTCTAAAAAGGGAAAACAAGAATCCCAGATAGAACACCAACTGGTGGTGTCGCCCAGCCCTTTTTGGGGAAAGTTCCTCCTTCGACTCCAAGTGGTGGACGAGCTGCTCCAGGAGCAACCCAACGCCCATAACCAATTCCAGCGCGGTTAGGACCCAGCTGGTCTTTTGACACCTAAAATAAAATCGTTCGTAATAGGCACGAAGATTTCTCAGTTACTACGAAACAACGTGATTCGTCCATTTTCGGCTCACGGTGATCACATTTGAAAAATAACTCGCCGCAAACAAACCTTCGATAAATCCCCAGAACTTTGTCGGCTACCTGGATAACTGGCCTTCCGAAAATTCCGTGGAGCAACATCGGCACAAACAGGTGAGCTGCCCCATCCGTAGGAGTAATGTTCACTCTGAAGAAAAAGCCAGAACTACAGAGATAAAATGCTGTAATTTTTGTCCATAACAACAGTTGCCAACACAGTTTTCGGCTTTTAAGGCGTAAGACATGGGCAGCCTTCCTCTCCTACTACATATGAGTAATATGGATTCCATCACCCGCACCTTGGCATTTCTACAGTTACAAAGGCAAACCTATTTCTATCACCTTTTGCACCGCAACTCAGTTTTCCATTTGCTGCTTTAAGTGATGGCAACGCTATACGTTTGGCCTTTTAAATTAATTCTACTGATAAAGGACTATATTTCAAAAAAAAAAAATGACTGCACTCCTTGCCCGCCGATAGTGATACCGACCACTGCAAGATGAACTATCCGGAGAAAAACAATTATTAACGGGCACTCAGTATTAACAATCGTCCTGCGCAAAGCACTGCCGAGTAAGGTGACTTCATTCGAAAGGTGCTCCACTGTATTCGACTCGATGCGATCACGTAAACCTACTTCGGAACAAGAAACAACTGTGAACGAATCAGTGCGTGTTTGTTGAAGGCTAATTAGTCGAAACGTTAGACGAATAAAGTTTTTTTCTTTCACCAAACTCGTGATAGCCTATAAATTAGAAAATGCACACTGAATGTTAGGGACTAAGATGAATTGGTTTGAGTGTCATCGTTAGTAGATCTCTTGCAGACAGTAGACGAGGTAAAGCTGATTAAACTAGGGATGTAGGATTCATTGCGTCTAAATCAAGGGTCCCGACGAAGATTCTGAATATGTTAGTGAATTCTGCAATGAGAACGAAATTTAGGTAGATAAAGTAATGCACCACGACCACTGGGTCCTTCTGATGGCGGTGTGGTATTGAGTGAATCAACGACATCTGCTAAAACGAATAAAGCACCACATTGACGACCCCTTCATACCGTTAAAACCAGAACCGAACTTCGCTAATACTAAACAAACGCTAAGAAGTGATATGCACGCCCTCTTCCACAGTTATTCAACCGTGTTCAGTCAATGAATTAAATACTTTGGTAAGTTAAAGAACACGAAGTTGGACAAGTTCAACTTTCACTTCTATCCCTTTTTTGAATTTCTAAAATTTCATTGCTATCACCTCGGCGAAGATTTCAACAAAATCCCCAATTGGAGCGGTATTCCACTCCAACGGATTCGACTCGATGCAACTACAAAGATCCACATCGCAACAACGACTGGTTGTGGACAATTGGCACGGAGCTTTTCAGCTGTCAGGGCTACGAAGTCCCCAAAACGTCAGCGAAATAAAAGTTTACAAACCTCCTGGTACCCTAGTAACCTAAGAAAATATTCGCTACAGAATTGACGCAAATGTGTCAAGAAGATCGGTGGCTGATACAGCCAGTGCAACAAATATTTCTGCTCAGAGAATTCAAATAACAACCATAAAAACTATAAACTACGAACTGCACAGAATGTTTCCATCAGCAGCGCGCTGATAATGAAGCTTTCAGCCTCTTACGTTGCCCTCGAGCAATTTAAGAAATTGCTGCCGACCAGAACTCTAATTCTACGACAATCCCACTTCTAAAGTACAAATGCTGGCGAGTGCATATGGTTAGTGAACTCCCTGAGAGCATTTTCGCATGTGTACCTTGAGAATCCACAGAAAACCGCACTCAAGCAGCACTTAACATGTCAGTGTCTTCAGAAGTTCCTTAATGTGCAGCAGAGAATACACATGAACCCAATCGCTGCTACATTGTTAACCCTTTATTTAGCTCCTATTATAACTTTTCACGGCAGGGTATGATGCGAAATCCAACCACAGCGATGCTGAGATATTCGTAAAACTTGGACTCAGAGTTAGATCGATCCACGATTTCCCTTTCCGGGGACTCGCGTATTACACGTGGCCCGTGTCCATGTTTTGCGAATACCATAGAACCGTTTTGGTTGTTCCCACATAGATGCAAGACAAAAAGGAGCGTTGAAGAACTTCTTGGGTCCATACGATTGATGACAACCATGTACGCTTGCTATACTACGGAGACGAACTACTTACGTAACACAAGTAATTACTTATAAAAATGTGGGGGCGCACGAAAAAACGCTGAAAAAGTGGTGGACACCGATGGCTTACACTGCAGAGCGGGATACTCCCGTTGTCTCACATATGGTTCACACTTTCGTTAATGTGTTAATGGAGAGAATCGTTGAACCACAGATGGCATTGTACTGAAAATATTCGAAGGAACATGGAGGAGTTACCTGTGGTGGAGCACGGAAGTTGCCATTGCCCAATGAGACGGTGTAAACGTACGGATCCATACCTAGGAGTGAAGAAACTAACGCTGTAAATAGTAAGAACAGCACGGCACAAACGGCCACCTGTCTCGTGTTAACTTCGCGACCTTGAAAAAAAACTAAACACGACAAGAAAAAAGGAAATCGACCAATCATGAGTGAGAAAGGATGAAAATGGACAAAATCCTCATAGATCCTAAGATTTCTAGCGAAATGGACACCGACCAAAACTCGAAAAGAGCCTGGACACAGAATCCTGGGAGACGGACGCGGTGGTGGACCACTGTTCCTCATGCGCCGCAGCGGCTCGGGGGCGAATTCTAGTCCTTACAGCGCGGTTTCTATCTGGTGGGTTAGTGTCCGGCCGGATGATATGTGATAGAATGAAGCAAGCCAATCTCCTCCAGCAGTCAACAGTCATTGCAGAGTCCGGATTGATGTGGAGGAAATTTGTATCGAAAGAACTTTCAGCTTCCTAACGATTCTTCATCGTTTTAATCGATATCCATTAGTAAGATAATATCTTCTACTTGCTATACCTTGTAAACCCGATAGTGTTTCAACGCCTTGTCGTTTTTCTTCCGCTGTATATCATTTTATGTTAAGTTCCTAAGGTTCCTACGTGGTTGTGAGCATTTGGCTAAAATTTCTGATTGAGGAAGAACTTGCGCTGGAAGGAGTCGATGAGGATTGAGTCAATAGGTTTCAAGGAATTGTCGTAGCGTAATGAGGTAAGAGTAAATCAGCAGTTTAAAACGTTCAGTCAATGTCCACGTTTTTCAGGATCAAGATAAATCAAGAGAACCCTCTGGTTTCTATCGCCTGTGGACAGTTCGCCTTAAGTCTTATGCAGGTTTGTAGTTATCAGTGCTACGGTGAAGTTCTAAAATTCCGGTGGTTTGTATTAGTTGCACACAAAGATGATTAGCCGTTTAAGCTGTAGTTTATCACTCCATAAAACAATCCAAACCAAATTTCTAGAGCTTATGAGAAAAATGCATGTTTTAGGGCGTGGGGTTTGGTAGTAGTACACTTTTGTTCTCTTAAGATTCCTTCTACAGTGTTTGTTCAGATTTTTTTGCTAGGATGATGACGGCTGCTACGTTTGTTGCCAAGAGTGGACTCGGGTTTCAGAATACTTACTTGGATACTTGGATGGCACGTCCTCGCTGGTTGTGTGGGCCCCAGCATGTTCTCCATTTTTCGGAGTCTTGCTGGTTTAGCCTTTGTGGTTCCCAGAAATCCCGAGGTCAGCCAGGCCAAAGTCTGCCTCAGGTAGTCACCACCATAGGTAGTTGCCTTCCTTATGGATCAGAGTGAGATTTGCCATAATGTGACTGGTTTGATAACAGGTTGGTGGTGGATACTTGTATTGGTTTACTCTTAGCTGGGTTTCTTGACGGAAACTCCCCTCTCAGCTTGGGAGATCTTGCTGGGGATGAATCCCACCACTGCTCATCGCAGTCTGGCACCCAGGCACACATCATAGCCACCATGAGGCGGTAAATCGTTGGGAGGGTTTCTGAACAAATGCAAAGAAATGTTGGATGCAATCTGCCAAATCCTTTCGAAATACATAAAGTCCACACGTATCCTGTGCTTTCATTTTCAGGCAATGTTCATGTTCTACTATGTCAAGGTCTATCTGGTCGTGTTCCGTGTTCCCCAGCTGTGGTTCAACGTAGCGCAGTCGCTGTTCATGTTCTGGAATGCCATCAATGACCCAATTTTTGGCTATTTGCAGGTATTTCTTGAATTCTTTGAAACAACGGAACTTATGAGTTCGGCGGTAATCTTTTCCTTCATTCTGTTTTATATTTTTCATATACAGACGATTCTAGGATAAACCAGGATCATGGATGAACTCACGTACCCGGGTTATTCGTAGTTTTGCACCGTATCTCGCTAGCTCTTTTGCATTGATGTGGTTCCCATGGTCAGAAGGTTCTTATCTGGAAGGCCTTCACCTCATCGTCTCCCTTTTTCTTTATGATGCTTTCTATAGGTAACTATCCTTTTTGGCCTTGCTTCTTGATACCTTTCTGAAGTAGTTTAGTGCCGTTGGAGTGGCTTGGGGTGCGTTGTTTGCTGACTCCACAAAGGAGCCGGGTTTACGGATCTTGGCAGTGAAGTATAGTCAAATCGCTATACTGATTTCTGTTAATATCGTCGTAGTCACCGAAAAACTCAGCCATAGCCTTGAGGTAGGTGGAGAAGTCGATTTCATGTCTCTTTGTGAAGCACATTCTTGAATATTTTGCTTAGAGGTTCTGGGTATTCCAACTGATAGCGAGTTTCGTAGCTGTCATTGCTGTTGTGTGTTTTATCCTTGCTGGCTCATTGAAGCGTACATTTCCTCTTCTAAACGACGAAGTCAATACCCAGCAATCATCTGCCAGAGGGTGGGATTCAATAGAGGCTCTTGCTACCAATGAGGATGTTATGTTGTGATCAGATATTTTTTAGGAAAGAAGTCGGCTCGATGCTGGTTTCTATGCGAGAGATTTTCTTTCAGCGAGATTTCGTTGCCATAGTAGTGACAAACTTTGTTCACTCTGCAAGGTTAGATCCGGTTTATTTGTAACATCCACACTTACTGTTATGAATATGAATTGTTTAAGAAGCATAACCCACATGAACTTTGCTTCTACGGCTACGGATCTTCTCATACCTCAAACCATAATTCCGAAGGGGTCATTGCTTCTTAGTTTGTTTTATGGTGTTCTCACGGTTGGACCTCAGGTTGTTTGCTCCCAAAACCACATTTGTCTTTGTGAAAGCTTATATCGAACTTCACTGCTTGAATGCCTGCAGGTTTTGCTGATCTTATCCAAGGAACTAGTAGTGAAGAGTGGCGCTTACCGGATATTAATGATGAGCTACGCAGTCTCTATTCTCTCTGGGTTGTTCTTCCTCGTCTCTTCTAATCCCTTTTGTGTTATGCTTTTTATGCTTGTTGATTGGTGAGATATTCGTAGTTTTATTCATTAGTTTTTTCTTATTCACTGATTTACCGTTTTTTAGTATCACGGTCCACTCAACTGCGCCTCTTTTCAATATTATTATCGCCGATTTTATCGATAATGATGCGAAACGACACTTTCGGAGGTACCGTTAACTTTTTCGTTAGAGGATAAAGAAGGATGAAGCTCTCGGCGGTGATTTATCCCTTAGGGTGCGCCATGCATTCGACTTCATTAAGCATTGTTTGGAGGTGATTGAATGCATATGTGGCCTTTACAATGAATCGTGGTGGCCTGCCTATGCAGTGCTGCTATCCTGCCAGACAATTCTGATACCGATTTGCCGACTCCGAAACGTTTGGTGGGTCATGAGCACGGGGATGGATTCCACGTGTGTTTTGCAGGGCGCCTGCGACCACTGCGCCACATGCGTGCCTTATGAGATAAATGACAAAGTGTCACTCCTTATGTGTTATACGAGGCCTTCTACTTTTGTTGAGCAGATTTTATGTACTTAAAGTGTTTGATAAAACCGTAAATTCCTTTTATATTCTTAGAGATCTTTTGTTCTGAAAAATTGAGAAGATCCTGAGTCAAAGTTTGGACTAGGTGTATTCAGTTTATTGATAACTCATGTGTATTCTGTGGAATTTAAATGTTTTAGGACTCCGCTCTCTTCTCTGGTGTTTAGTATGAATGCACTGTTCGTCAAACCTGCACAATCTGTTGCTCCAGTGCTTGTCGTTTACATTCTTGACCAATACGGATACAGTGTGAGTGACTCTAATTATGCTGTGATATTTCTGAGACTAACTATTATGTTGCGATCTCGTTTAATAATGGGAAGAAGAAGAGGAGGAAATCCATTGCAGGATGCTGTTGTTTTTATAGGAATATATTTCCAACAAGCAGCCATCGGATGATCTCGTTTTTGCAATGAGGACGTTATTGTTTGCACTTCCTGTTGTTCTTGGCAGTATTCAGTACTCTGTTTTTAAACGCTATTCACTCCACGACAAACATATGCTTAAGTCTGAAGAGGATGTTTAAATAATTGTTTAGATTACAGACTTCTATGATTCACTCCTCTCCCCATTCATCAGAGAGCGGTTATGGCCTTAGCATTCCCTGTTTTTCTTGTCATCTTTCCAGTATTTCGTAAGTAGCCTTGTATTTGTGTCTACATAGTGAACGTCAACCATCGAGAACTTGTGCGTTCTGTTTTAAAACCAACAAGACGACGTGATTTCTATAAGACCGGTGGGAAGGCATTGTAGCCAGTACGGAAGGCAGTGCAGCCAATAGGACATCTGTAGAGCTCATTTTCTCCGCGTTGCGCTATTTTGTTGCAGAGGACTTTTTTCCTTTATTTTCTGCAACCGATCAGTAGTCTACCCAACCATGATTTTGTGATGGGTTTTGACGAGTTATTACCAATACGTAATAGTTTTCGAAAACCCATTTTCGGACGAGCGCATTTCGCAGCGGGACTGACGCTGTTGAAGCGAGTGCGCGCTACGGAGGCTGGTTTTTGTGAACGGGAGAACGACATGTTTTCCGTGCTTGAATAAGGTGTTTGACTCTTAGAGGCAGCCTTCGTCGCAATAAAGCACTATTCGCTGAGGAGAGGTGTTTGGATCTAACTGTAGTATAGTTGTAACGCAATGTGACCACTACTGTCTGTAAAAGAGCTTAACGTTCATCAATGTTTTCTCACAAAGGGGTGTTCTGTTTCGAAGGCCTATTCTCATAACGCTCCACTGATATTATAGAGGTTGAACTCAGAAAGTTTTATTCTTTAATCTGCAATTCTTGCTTAGACTTTTTACATACTCTTGGCAATTTTCACAACCTAAAACCGACTTCTATAACGAGCACCGTTTACACATAACTAATAATCAGTATAGCCTAAATTCTCCAGGGCTTGTGTGGCGCAGTGGTCGGAGGCTTCCTGCAACTCACACATGGGATCGATTCCGCGTCCCTGGCTCGCCAATCCTTCCATCCCTCCGGAGTCGGCAAATTGGTACTAACCTTGTCTGGAAGGATGGCAACACTGGCTCGAAACATCGGTACGCCACCGCGAATCATTATAAAGACCAGATGTGTATTCGATCACCTCCAACGATACTTAATTAAATCGAATGCATGATGCACCTCTCAGGGATTGATAAAAGCCGAGAGCTTTGTCCTTTATCATTATAGCCCAAATTCTCCACAGGTCACAGATTTTCCATATAACTTGCAATCTTTGGCGTCTATTATTTCAACAATCATATTTTTTGCGTGTAGTTTATATTTATTATCAAGATTAATTATTGTCTATCATGCACTATTTATAACACCCGCTAATAATCATTATAATCGCTCCGTATTTTTTTTTGGGGTTTGTTGGAAATTCTTTGTGAAAGGACTTGTTGTTTTGGGTGCATCGAATGTTGGCCCGTTTGCTTTGTAGTCAGCGGATTCACGAATTGTTGCTAACATCCTATCGTCACCAACAAAACTTTTGTGTGTTGGTGAGATCATTTCGAGGGTACGACTCAATGAGGTTCTAGCTAAAGGCAATCCACTTTCCGGGATCAAAATAAGTGAATCCACATCCTGTAGGGAATTGCCGTTTGTTTTTTGAACACTCCTGCACTAGACACTTCTTACTCACCATATACTTCAATGTAATGGATTGAAAAAAGACGTTTGCCACCTAAACTATGGGAAGCAAAAATAGCGTAAGACTGGACCATTATTATTATTGTTACTACTACTTACTATTATTATTATTATTATTATTATTATTATTATTATTATTATTTATTACTACCAATTTACTATTATTGTTAATTTTTGTTATTTTCATTTATTATTGTTATTAATCACTATTGCTGAATTTTTATTATTATTTATTATTGCTGTTATTATCAGGCTATTATCATCATTAATTACTGCCATTGTTTCTTATTGTTGTTATGATTCGTTGTTATTATTAACTATTATTATCAATTATTAATATTACTAAATCATTGTTGTTGTTACTTACTATTGTTATTATTTTATTATTGTAACTATTGTCAGTTATTATTGTTAGCCATTATTATTATTATTATTATTGCAGTGTTAACCTTTCATTTGCTGCCTGCTACAATTTTTCACGGCAAGGTAATATGTCACCCTTTCCAGGGGCTCGCGATTTTGTTTTGAAACGTCCTATATTTATTTACACTACAGCATAATAGATGTTACAAAGTTTATAAAGATTTTGACAGTACAAGGAAGCAAAATTTTACATGTGCATGGGTACTTACGCGAGAACATAATAGGAGAGTAGTGATGGCCGATCCCACAAATTCAAGGATTGTAACTTTCATACAGATACAAAAAACTTGCAAACGAGTGTTTAATGAGATAAAAACAGATAAAACTTCTATAGAGATTTTGGAGAATTTTACACGAAGCCATTGTTTGAAATACATTATATTGTTTAGCACAGCATCAGCCAACAGCAGGAAGGCTCCGTTGGTCACACTACTAGACAGTGTTTCGACGTGAAGGTAAAAGATTCTGAGTGTCGAGTGCAGCCACTGTAGACATGCTTGCCATCCACCTATGAGTTAATACTCCAAAAAGAGATAACCTTATGATTGGTTCTTCAACGACAAGAGTTCATATAAGTTCACTAGGATCCTCACTGATATCCATTGGAACTATAAGATCACAAGTCGTAATTGCTAGCAGTGTTCCATTCTTGTGAAGAAATTCAAATAATGGTCGTCCTACAAGCATTTCGTATAAAAGGACACCAATCGCCCAATTATCAACAGTGTAGTCATAGGCCTTCCCAATGATCATTGCTGGGGGTAAGTAATCTAACGTGCTACCAAAGGTCTCACGGCGTTAATGAGAAGATGCGACAGCAAAACTTAAGTCGGCAATCTTTAAATTTCTGTTCTCATCATAAATGATATTGTCTGGCTTTATATAGCGGTGAATGACTTCTTTAGAACTACAATAGATGTTAACACCTGCCAGTTGACGGACATATTTGGCAGCTTCAGGCTCATCTAACTTCCCTTCATTCTTGATACGATCGTACAACTGCCCACCTTCGGCGAATTCCAAAATAATGTATACTCGTTTTTGGTCATCGAAATGTCAGAAGGAAATGGTCTGGAAGGTTTATGACGTTTTGTTAAAACATAATGGAGAGAATTGTATGTTTGAAGAAGTGATTAGATATCCAACAAAAGAGCGGTTTGTTTACACATTTAAGAGTATCCTCCAACACTTAAGTTGATTTGGTTACCTTACCGCGATCAGACAAAGTGTAATGTAAACCATCGATGGGTCAAAAATATGAGCCATTTTACGTAGACCATAAAGAGTAAAGATGAAGCTTTGACATTGATTAATCCCTATGGGATGCGTCATGCATTCGATTTCATCAGGCATCAGTAGGATTGATTGAGTGCATATCTGACCTATGCAATGACTTGTGGTGGCCTATCAATGTACCAAATCAGTGTTACTTTCCTCTTACACAATTCTGGTACCAATTTTCCAACTTCGGAGGGGTGGAAGGCTTGATGAACTCGGGACATGGGATCGAACCAGCGACCACGTTGGTATTACAGGGCACCCTAGCTATTGCGCTAAAGCCGCTCAACGTGGATCACATCAAAGGAATGGAAGACGAAATTACCATGGGGAAAGTTTGTCCCGAAAAAAACAGCGCGGAAAAAATGGATCAAACAAGACACAATCCGTCGTGAATGTATTTACCTTACAACTCTACAAGGATTGGAAAGCTTTTCGCAGTTGTTGTTGTGCTTTGCAAGATTGGTTTAGCTATTGAATATTGTTGTGTTGCAGTTATGCCGATAATAAATACTGCCTATTGGTGCTTAAATATTGATGGCGTGAAATGGATTTTGTGATTTCTTTTGTATACCTTTTTTTGTAACTCTATCTATCAATAACATTGTGAGTATGGTTATGATTGAAACGGGTTTAAGGCCTGCATCGTCTCAGCACTAATGAGTAACACTGTTCCTTTTGAAAAAATCCTGAATCTAGCATCGTTGTAGGTGAACAGCAGTGATGTTGAATGACCTTTAACCAGAATGTTATTGTTGACTGTTGTTATAGCGGATCAGATCCGCGCCATTATTCCATGTTCTTTGCTTTCACTTTCAATGGTTCCCTTTGCAACAGTATCCTTAGGCATTGGTGCTATTTCCTGGATTATGCCAAGAAGAGTCACTCAGGTAAGTTCAACACATACTCATTTAGAAAGCGTCGGAAGTTTGGTTTCCAATTTTACAGACTTTGGATAACACCTTATATCGCGCGTACATGAGACTTTGCCTATTTGTGTTCGAAAATATCTCCGGTGTACAGGCGAGCTATCTACTGTCATGTTCTCATTAAAATTCATAAATCATGTCCATATTTAAATGTGGCGACCGGACGTATCCATCTCTGCGATATTTCTATAAAGTTAATAACTTTGGATGAGCCTTCTTGCTTTCTATGATTACTTGTAGATTTAGCAATGTTTATTTTCCGTTTCTTGCCAACAGTTTACCGCCTAATTGTGGCCAGAAGGTGCTCCTGGGTGTCGAGCTGCGATATACAGCGGAGTGTTCATCCTCCTGGTAGGACCTCCAAAACTGAGAAGGAGTCCGGCGTTTCCATCAGGAAGCCCAATTAAGAGTAAACCAATCCCAGGATCCACCACCGTTCTGGTACCAAACTGGTCGCATGGTGGCAAATCTCGCTCTGATCAAGAAGGGCAGCGACTGTCTGTGGTGGTGACTACTTGGGCAGACTTTGGCCTAGCTGACCTCAGGATTCCAGGGAACCACAATGGCTAGCCCAGCAAAACTCCGAAAAATTGGAGATTATGCTGGGACCCGCATAACCTGTAAGGACGGGCCATCTAAGTGTCCAAATAAGTATTTTTCGTTTAACCATGGAAATAACGTGTGTACTTCTACAGAGCTTTACTGATGTTGGACCTAGATCAATCAACCACTTATCATATACTGTTGTTTCTTAAACCTATTCAAAACTCATTTCATCAAAAACTTGTTTATGGAGTGTAAGTTTTTTGATGGTGTGATTTCGGTAACAGTTAAAGCTGTATGGTGACATAGAGAAGTTGAAAGAAACCCCTGACTGTGCTCTGGTGTTGGCGAATCATCAAAGCGATGGTTAGTTTTACAAGTGAATAAGTTTAGCGATATATTAACCGTACGTTCTTATATGGATGGTTTTCAGTTGACTGGGTGGTGTTGGTGATGTTAGCACAACGCCAAGGTAGATATGGCAACGATGCCGGCTTCCGTGTAATGGTCAAGCATATTATTCATTATGTCCCTCTCTTTGGTTGGTATATATTCCAGGTTTGTATACTTTGTGTATTGAGATTATTTCCATAGGTCTTCCTTATTTATTTAGCATGGTTATGTTTATGTGCGGCGCTTTGGAGAATTGTTATACGGCCCTGTCGTGAAACAACTATCCTGGTTGGATTCGCTGAGAGAGCCGTTCTGGTTACTTATCTTTCCTGAAGGAACGAGGTGAGCGTGGTTTATATGTTTCACAAGTTTCAAACTTCCAAGTCTATTTCACTAGGAACTTAAAAGTTACTGCTAAAATAGCTCACAGAAGCTTTTTTAAATGTAGCTGTTCACTCCTTACAAGAAGGCGTAAGTTTTGCTTTCTTGGCATACCGTTACTGCGTTGTTAAACTTAAGCTGAAATAACTATTGCTATGGAAATGCAATAATGATCTGCGGAAATCAAAAATTATCTATACTTACTACTAAACATTACTTGTAGCAACAATTCTTTACAATTCTTTCCACTTCTGTTCAGTAAACATGAGGTGCTATTCCACTTCCCCACTCACGTAAAAGCTGACGTTTCGGCGGATTTCGCCTTCCTCAGAGCCTGGAAAGGTCAAGTTGACAGCAACCTATTCGGCCAAACACCTTCATAACCAAACAGTGAAAACCCTAAACCAAGATTTCAATCACATTGAACACAGTTCCGTACACTCACCGCTTTCTATGAATCTTCCACTGAGTATGCCGTGTGAAGAGCAACCGTACAGAACTCACATGGAAGCGTAATGTGCCTCTCCCATCAAAATAACAGGTTTATATGCTGCCCTATATCACGCGTGATAATGAGACATTCTTCCCTGCGGTTCATTTTCGGATTTCTGGAATTAATCCAGAACGCCTCGAGAGTTTTGCGCGCTTGTGTTCTCGATTCTTGCGCGAGGAACGTGACACGTCCTTCAAAGTCCTCCCCGTTATGTCTCTGGGTTCTATGCGTGCCTAGCAGGGTATTTGGTTTATGTTTTCCGGATGCGGACACAGAGAGGTCTGCCCGTTTCGCCAATGTATTCGTCTCCGCACGCCTTACAGAGGTTTCAGATAAACTATACCCGAGGTCATGCAATCACCGTTTTTACCATTGGGGAAAATTATGCAATTTTGCGTTGCACATAGACGGTCATATAGTCGGAACTAGCTGGCGCCTAAGATTACTCTGTGGCATTTCAACTACGTTTACCGAATTCTCTGGACCCGCCCTTCTCAAGCAGCGTTTTATAGCTGCACTTACATCATTTGAGATCAAAGGTAGAATAAACGGGACCTTTTTATCGCTAGAGTTATCGTTTGGGGGCCTCCGATTTCCCCTACACCTATCCCGAGCTACAGTTTCGTAGCCATTGGAAATGGCTATTTGCCGCGCCAAGTTCCGGGACTCCTCTCTCTGCTCTGTTCCCATACACACGTTGGTTGCTGTTCGAAACATGTTTCTTACAAGCGCTCTTTTCGTGTGAGAGGGGTGAGAAGAGAGGTAATTTACCAGGATGTAGGAAGAGATGAGTTTTTATAAGCAAGTACAAGACTTACAGTCAGCACAATAACGACTCCGTCTCCTGGCCAACGGGCAGGGTAAAAACTCATAAGTTAGTATCCAGCGATGATCTTGCGTCTACCAATCCATCATTATTTAAGGTTACACCTATCATTAGCCGTGTAGACGGGCCAACGGACAGGATTTAACCCTAATATTTAACCAGTTGTTGAAACACATTCCAGCCCGTCTTACGAATACCCAGATGTTTCTGGATCGTCTACGTACTGCGCAGCTCAACACCGCGTGCGTGATGGAGTCCTTCGACGTTACCGCCCTTTATACAAACGTGTCGAATGACTCCACAATGCGAGCCATATTCGAACTCCTACAACACGAAAGAGAAATAAACATGTATGGCTGAGCAGTTGATGGCACTCTTAAAAGAATGCTTGAGCTGCTCAATCTTCAGATGGTCCGGAAAGTACTACGCTCAAATAAGAGGGTTGGCAATGGGACAACGACAGGCACCAAGTCTCGCCATTGCTTTTATGTCCAAGGTGGAAGCACCGGTGATTGATCTCGGGCCGTTACTCTACTGTAGATATATAGATGAGTGTTTTGTCCTTTGATCAACACAAGAGGATATGGACAAGTGTTTCGAGTTGTTGAATAAACAGTCAGAGTATATCAAGTTCACCCGAGAGAAACCGAAAGAAAAATGGCTTCCATTCCTGAGCGTGCAAATTAGCCTATCAGAAAACGGCTACATTACTAAGTGGTATGAAAAGCCAAGTAGTAAAAAAGTAGTTGCGTCTACCAATCCATCTAGTTCATTACCTCTCCTCTCATCCCTCTCACACGAAAAGGGCGCTTGTGAGAAACATGTATCGAACAGCCACCAGCGTGTGCACAGGAAGACAACAGAGAGAGGAGTGCTTGGCGCGGCAAACAGCCATTTTTAATGGCTACGAAACCGTAGCTCGAGATAGGCGTAGAGGAAACCACAAGTACCCCAACGATAACTCTAGCGACAACATGGTGCCGTTTATACTGCCCTTTATTTCAAATGAAGTAAGTGCAGCTATAAAACGCTGCTTAAGAAGGGCGGGTCTAGAGAATTCGATAAACGTAGTTGAAATGCCACCGAGTAATCTTAGGCGCCAGGTAGTTCGTAACCGACTGTATGACCGTCTATGTGCAACGCAAAATTGCATAATTTGCCCCAATGGTAAAGACGGTGATTGCATGAGCTCGAGTATAGTTTATCTGAAATTTCTGTAAGGCGTGCGGAGACGAATACATTGGCGAAACGGGCAGACCCCTCTGTGTCCGCATCCGGAAAACATAAACCAAATACCCTGCTAGGCACGCATAGGACCTAGAGACATAACGGGGAGGACTTTGAAGTACGTGTCACGATCCTCGCGCAGGAGTCAAGAACACAAGCGCGCAAAACTCTCGAGGCGTTCTGGATTAATTCCAGAAATCCGAAAATGAACAGCAGGGAAGAATGTCTCATTATCACGCGTGATATAGGGCAGCATATAAACCTGTTATTTCTTGATAGGAGGGGCACATTACGCTTCCATGTGAGTTCTGTGCGGTTGCTCTTCACACGACATACTCAGTGGAAGACTCATAGAAAGTGGTGAGTGTGCAGAGCTGTATTCAATGTGATTGAAATCTTGGTTTAGCGTTTTCTCTGTTTGGTTATGAAGGTGTTTGGCCGAATAGGTTGCTGTCAACTTGACCTTTCCAGGCTCTGAGGAAGGCGAAATCCGCCGAAACGTCAGCTTTTACGTGAGTGGGGAAGTGGAATAGCACCTCATGTTTGCTGAACAGAAGTGGAAAGAATTGTTCAATCAATGCCGAGGTTAATAGAAAGTCGGACGTGGGAGTTACTACAAATCTTTACGTCGGTGGATTTTTCCAGGTATTCACTCAAAAAGAAGGAGGCATTACTTGCTAGTCAGGAATTTTGTCGAAGGAAGGTGTGTGTGTAGACATTTTTTTACATTTACATATCATATTAAGGTTTTTAAGGGGATACCGGAATTGTCGAATGTCTTATGTCCTCGCGTAAGTGGTATACTTCTAGCAGTGGAGCGATTAGATTCATTAGATGCTGTCTATGATGTAACTATAGCATATGGGCAAACAAGGTATGATATGGACAGTCGTTATATAACTATGTAACTCATATAATGGCGTACCGTTATATAACAAATGCATCACATAAATGAAGTGAAAATTTGAAAAACTAATTTACGCTGGTTGGAGGTTCAGTTCAGTGGCATTTCTGCACCCTTAAAGATCTTTAAACCTCCCAAATCGATTTCTCATTCTCACAGGAATTTTCAAAAGAAGCATCAAAATCACGGTGAGTCGCCTAAAAGTCACACAAGCGCTCTGTATTCGCCATTATCATTAGTGGAAATAGTTTAACTTTTTTTCGAAAATCCTTCATTTCTGATTGTTCGGTCAATGAAAATAAATCCTTCATTAGAGAATGTCTTACTGTTGAAGATTACCAAATCGACGTGGTGTTGCCCCCAGTATGCTCGAATTCGTTTGCGGAGAGCGAGCGGCAAAAGTACTCAGTGTGCATGTAAAAAGGTACTCGGCAAAGGAGTTGCGTATGAGCCGGAAGGAACTGCAAGATTGGATTATGAGGGCGTACTCTGAGAAGGACAGGTCTGTATGAATATTTATTCATTTACTAATTCATTGCCCTTTTTGAGTAGCTGGTATCTTGGAGTTCTTTCAGTAACAGAATCACCCAGGCTAAGAGGTTCGGTGTTTCTTACCGGAAATTAATTTGGTAACAATCCCATGCTCCTCCCAACGGTTTACCGCCTCATCGTAGCTGCGAGGTGCTCTTGGGTGTCGCGCTACGATGTACAGTGGGAGGGTCCATGCCTTAGCAGGGTCTCCTAGGTTGAAAAAGAGTCCTGCGTTCCCATCAGGTAGCCCAGCCAAGAGTAGACCAATACCAGGACCCATCACCGTCCTGGTATCAAACTGCATGGTGGCAAGTCTCTGATCCACAAGGGTGGCGCCTGCTTGTGGTGGTGACGACCTGGGGCAGACTTTGGCTAGGCTGATCTTGGCACCCCAGGGAACCTCAGTAGCTAAACTAGCAGAACTCCGGAAAAGAAATGGAAATTATACTGGGGTCCGCACAACCAGTGAAGATGAGCCATCCAAGTATACAAGTAAATAATCACATACTGTGGAATGAAACTATTGAATTACTCGTTGGTTAATGTAATTACAGCTGATTTCGATATGATTGCTGTAAATAAGTGTTGTTGTGCTACCAATAATCCGATAATGCTTGAAGGACTATTTGGTGATCAAGTAGATTCCAGCATTTTGGATTATCAAAATTGTCGGGATGAATAATTCGCTATTCTCTTGATACACTCTATATTATTGTCATATACTATTTTTTCACAACAGCAAACGTTTCGCCGCATTTCATCTTTAGAGCCAGGAAAGGTCAAGTTAACCGCAACATAGCCGAACACATATATAACTTCAACTGAAAACCCACGATACCCAATTTTCAACCGCACTGGATACAAAACAGCTCCTTTACACGCTCGGTGAGAGCGTAAATGCAATTGGCAACTAGGTATCGTCGTTGTTCTGTTGAGGCTATGGAGGTGTTTGACTGACTGGATCGTAGTTAACCGATTCTGCTCCGACGCCGTTGTGCGTGGCTGTCCGAATCGAATATGAGCAAGCAATCGAATTTTCGTCGGCTGACGTCCTTCCGGTCTCTGACAATAAAAAGATCTTTTCTTAATAATTAGAGGACTGAAGTGGTTTTGAACATGACAGAATTGTAGAAAAGCTTTATCGTTCTCTGAGTAGTAATGTGTATGCTACGATTTACTATATGTTAATCCATATTCCAATGGGAGTATTCTGCAGTTTATATGGAGTATATCTACGTCGGGATTTTAATGTCTGGATATTCCATACAATAACCATAGCTATTAAAATGAACAAAAATTTGTTCCTCAAAGTACCAGCCAGTTAATCTTTTTGGAAGAATGATTTCTTGCAAATCAATAAGTGTAGAGAATGGCTTTTCTGGTCTCCTCCTCCCACCTTGATCTGCTTTTGACTAGCTCTCGAACGAATATACATAATGCAAAAAAAAAACTCTACAACCCACTAAACTGAATATGGACACTACAATGTCCACATCCTCTCACCGGTTCGCCGCCTCACTGTGGCCAGGAGCTGTTGCTCGGTGTCGGGCTGCGATGGACCGCTGGGAGATTCATCCCACAACAGGGTCTCAGCTGAGGTGTCTGGCGTTTCCATTATGAAGCTCAGCTAAAAGTTATCCAATATCAGGATCCACCACCGTCCTTGAACTAAACTCTTCCCATGATGGCAAACTGAGGCAGACCTCGGCTAGGCTGACCTCAGGACTCCAGGGAGCGGCAATGGCTAAACTAGCAAAACTCTGAAGGGTGGAAATTACGCTGGTGCCTGTACTATCAGTGAAGACGGGCCGCCCAATTATACAAGTAATGTCCATACGATCGTTTGGTCCAAACCGCTATGGACACTATAGTGTCCATACCGGGGTAGAATGGGTTAACTTGAGCTAATCAGGGTTGCTTTGAGGAAGGTGAAACTCGCTGAAACCTCAGCTGTTGTGAATGAAGATACAATAACAAGCTCGTGTATACTTACCAAGAGAATTGCAAATTGTATATCAATGCCGAAGAGACTAGCAAATCGGTGTTAGGAATTGTTGTGATGTTTTTAAGTTAGAGTTTATTTAAACAGAAAGGTCACAAATTGTAAGAGATCGTAAATTTCAGACTTTTGGAGGACTACTACAAGACGGGTGAATTTCCGGAACCAGTATCACTGGATGAGCAATCTGTGTCAATCTGTCGAACTTTGCCACCAACGCTGCTTTTTGTGGCCGCTTTAGTGGCTCCGTATTATGTGCCCGCTGTTCGCAACGTTTATCTCCTTACGTTGGCAAGCTCTCCGCTTCTTATTTTTTGGCTGGAAGCCACAAAATGTGTTTGATTTACGCAGATGAACTTTTGTGTTCAGTAGAAATTTCACTACCCCAGAACAATTAGGATGACACAAATTCTTCCGTGCATTTCGTAGTCAGAACCCAGTAGATTACGAGATTTAAGGGCAATAATAATAGGTATTAATATAAAGGAATAGACAAGGTGGTTATGTGATATCCAGTCTTTTTCGTTCTTTTTCTATCCGTTTTGTTATGCGTCAGGTATTGAAGTCAGGTCTTGACGGGAATACGAAGTAATATCAACGTACTTAAGTGCAACTATGTAATGTTATGTTATGTTATGTTGTTATGTAATATGTTATATATTTTCATAAATTTTGGTAACAGCTCATGTGAACAATTTTCATTTATAGACGAACAGATGTATAAGCGTACATATAGTATGGCGCGTGAAATGTTGCGACCTAGCGAACGATTGACACTATCAAATCAGGAAATTATCAGTTAAATATTCTGTTATACAACAAAAAGACTGACAGTAATTTAACGGGGATAAATGTCATGTCATAACAGCATTTTCACCTATAAACATTGGAGGTAGTCTAACCGGACTATAAGAAGTGAGGCGAGAATACAGTAGGACACGATTGGTACCCGAGCGGTCTGTAGGAAACAAACAAATAAACGAACGAACAAAAAGTGTTTCGGAACCAGTACACACACATACTGGTAGAATGGCACATGCACATACCAATAACACCTATTCACGTACATGGGCTGATCAAAGAAATACGTGGTATTTTTCATTAAGGGAATAGAGGTATTTGGAGAAAGAGAGAATGGAAAGTTTGCTGTGCAAAAAACAAAACAGAGATTGGTCATGGTGCTAAGGGATTAAAGGGGCGGTGCAATTCTTGATTAGGCTCAAACTGTTCCTAAAGAGGGGTACGTTCTAAGTGTAGGCCACTTGACGAGCGCTCGACATATGTCCGAATCCGTATGGCTCAAATGTGCCATCAATCTTGTGTTTGAATTAGTTGACCGTTCCAAACCCTAACTAGTTCATGATTCCACTATCATTAATGTGCTTGAAGTGTTACAGTTCACTTAATCTCCTCTCATCCCACTTACCACTCTTCTTTTGCAGTTAAGATAATCAACAACTAGGCAGATCTAGGCAAATTCACCTTTGAACCGTTATAGTCCCGGTGGGGAGCAACATGAAGATAAATTAAGTAGAATGGAAGCGAGAAAGCGTGCAGTATGTACTCCCTTCTCCAGTATTACAACCCCTTTCTCCGCGTTTGACAATCAGTGTGCGTTCGTGTTTTCATGTTCTTTCAACTTCAGCCATAAAACGGGCATAAAGTGAACTAAGCGTGAACTAGCAAGAGAATGAGAGAAAAGGACGGTTGTTTTCCAACGGGTGGCCATTCCTCGACCATATAATAATGTAGACTTAGGTTGGACACGAAGCACACAAACTAGAGCGATCTGGTGGGCACACAACAATGTGCCGTTACGGAAACCACAGTTAGAGAAACGCTGCGGTAACCGTTTCTAGTGGGATTTTGCCCTTGAACTAGATCCTTGAACACAGATCCATAACACAACACCACTGACGAAAGCTACGGAATGTATGCACACTGATTTTCACCATACAACATCGGTTCAGCGGGCAAAACATGTTCGGGCTGATTCATCAGACACACTGCACGAATCGTTTGTAGACGTTGGTCCCATAGGTTCAAAAACAAGCCAGATATTATTGGATGGATAACTCAAGCGATTAATACATTAACAAGATTGCACGACACTAGTTTGAAATCTTTTTGTAGCCGACGTCATAGAACCATCGCCTACACGGTCGCAATGATTTGAGTAAAGCGTCCACCTCAGTAACTTCAGACTTCGTGCGCTGTTCTAGCTCACTCTATTTGACTCTACAAACGCAACTACAGAAATTCTCACAGTGCAAAAGATAACCGCTCTGGACACTTGTTGCAACTCTAAGAAGTTAATGGCACTGAAAAATCGGCCACAATCGATAAGAACGTACTAAGTGAAACGCCATTCTACAATAAATAAAATTCAACGGGTTCCATGTTGCCTGAAAGAAGGACATCGGAGCCACGCTTCCTAATGCGATCTAACGTCGACTAAATCATAGATTTGAGTAGGAGGTAATGTGCATGAGCAAAACAAAAGCTTTGAAGAAGCGATATGGATAGAAATCGACACAGAGTACACATTTGTATCAAGTGTAATGCTGTTGACTAACCCATGCAAAGTTTCTTTGCTGTGAATCCTCGGATCGCCTAACGAAATCATAACAAGATTTCTTCAAGTAACCTTATATTAATTACAGTGTGAAGTTGATCAATACGTACATAGAGTTTAGAAAAGCGAGCTATGCGAACTATGCGACTAAGCGAATCTAAGCCATTGATTTACAAATTACAAGATCTTTCATTCTCCTGATACCATGGTAATTCTTGGAACCGCATGCTGAGCACGTGATCAGCTCGTGCATGATGATGTTATTGCCCTGAAAATGTGTGCTTTTATGTGCAGAAACCGATTTGATGATATCATGAGTCATGCACACCGGTGATGAGTGAAAGTACATCCACCTACGGTTGTTTGCTTCACAACTCAAAAGATGTGGGAAAGAAGGTCTTGAAGAAAACCACGAAAGTCGGAATTGTGTGATTTAGAAATTCTACAATTCACTATGAACTCGTTCTGGAAAATTTCGACCATAACGGGTGACTTCTTCAGGCTTAGAAAAATACCTGGCGATAGCAGCATGAAACAAAGCGAGCTTGCAAAACGAAACGAAAAGCTTTGAGGTGCTAACTAGATTACACTACTTCAAAACACTTGAAACTACCGGGATTTTCTCGCTTAAAAGCACTTTTGAAACTCATTTTAAGGGTTCACTAGTTCTAAACCATACTAGTATCTATTCACCATCTCTTCCAATTACCACAGCTCTGTTACAAAACTTTTCCTCAACTCGTTTTCCTATGAGTCTTGCAAACTCGTGGTGTACTTCCTCGTACCAATCATTTCGGAGGTCAGCTTATACGAATTACAGTGCACCATTCTTAACAATTACAATTCGGACGGGAAGTGATGGAAATTCGTACGAGGAAATGGGAGTGGATTGATTTCCACTAAAATGTAGTCAGATGTCGAAAAAATGTGCTTCTTTAAACCTTAGGAACACTCCAGCTTGTCGCGAACCTTATCAATAGAAGTAAAAATTGATTGGACCTACAAAAGTGCCTGCCAGCGAGATTTCAGTTTTCTCACTCTACAAAGATGGAATGTTTCTTTTTTGGAGCCTAAAAGAAACATTTTATTTCTCGTTTTCTTGTATCGAGGCTCAAATCGTAGACACAAGAGGGAAGCGATTTCGTCCAGGAGAACGTAATGATCTTCGCGATGGCATGCTTCTGTGCCATTGTCGAGATGAAAAAACAGTTGGAAATTAAAATAACCAAAACCAATTAAATTATAAATATTTCTTTTCAAAAGTTTTCGAAGGTTGGAAATCTAAACATGTTTGAGATTTAGGCAATGAAATAGAGAGATTAAATATATCCTGTGAGCGAAGGAACAAAGTGTTTACCACAACTATGTCGAATTCTTAACATTTTTATTTACTGCCTATTCTTTTTAATGGTTGGGTATGTTGCGAAATTCCCAGGTGGTGAAAATAGCGCGTTCGTTCCCCACTGCAGACACCTGCGGTCCAGAGTTTCGAAAAAATCTCAGCATTATAGAAGTTATATGTCGAATTCGCCGCAACTCATCATGAAGTCCACTTAGAGCAAAATGTACACCCGCTGACGAAAACTAGTTGTAATTGTCAAGCATAATATTAATTCCTTACGAGGCCCCACAGAACACTTAACGGTAAGGGTTTTCCACATCCAATTCATGTACACATAAAATCATGGAGATTTTTGGTTTTAAAAAGAGACAAGACTGATAGGCGTAAAGGAAATTTTAAAATGTTTTGAACCTGCTTGGATACTTGGACGGCCCGTCGTCACTGGTTGTGCGGGCCCCAGTATATTCCCCATCTTTCGGAGTTTTGCTCGTTTAGCCACTGTTTCCTTGGAGTCCCGAGGTTAGCCAGGCCATAGTCTGCCGCAGGTTATCGCCACACAGGCAGTCGCTACCTTTGTGTATCAGAGGTAGATTTGCCACCATGCGACTTTGATACCAGGACGATGGTGGATCCTGGTATTGGTTTACTCTTAGCTAGGTTTCCTGATGGAAACGCTGGACTCCTCAGCTTGGGATACCCTACCGAGGTGATGAATCTCCCGCTGTAAATCGCAGTCCGACACCCAGAAACACCGTCCAGCCACGATCAGGTGGTAAACCGTTGGGAAGAATGTCTTGAAACCGGAACGAATAGTTAAAATTTTTACAGATGTCGCAAAGCAAAGGTTTCATAGCCAAAGCATAGATGGAGCAACGATTTTGCGATGAATAAAGAAGACAGCGCCTCTACGGCCCTATCCAAAAATAGTTCCAGATGTTCAATATCAATCTTTCTAAAATTAAAACCTGTTTATAACCAGGCTGAAATATGGGTAAAACTATGCTCCTTTGATATTATGCCACTTCTCTCTCTTCTATGATTCCTCGCAGAGTTCAAAGTATAAACCCCCGTGTTCAATGGCTGCTTTTTCAAAAAATATCGGTGTAATAAATCATCAAAACTGCCGGAGAAACCAGAAACGCACGAAAAGTCGGAAAATTTGACAAAGCACATCCATAATAACAACTGGAGACTGTAAGGTAACAAAAAAAAATTGAACGAATTAAAAACCACTGAGTTTAAGACAACTTCCATGTGGGAAAAAATTATCGCTGCGAAGGAAAATGATGATAAAACTTGTGCAAAACGTCAACTAAATAAGCGTCAGCACAACCACCACTCCACTAAAAGTATAAAAGCTCAAAAAAACCTCTCGGCGTTGATCAATCCCTGAGGGATGCGCCATGTATTCGACTTCATTACGCATCGTTTGGAGGTGATTGAATGCATATTTGGCGTTTAAAATGACTTGCGGTGGCCTACAGATGTATCGAGCCAGTGCTGATATCCTCTCAGACAGGTCTGGTACCAATTTGCTGGCCCCGGATGGATGGAAGACTTGGTGGGGCACGGTTGCAGGGATCGATTCCAAGTACGTGTTGCAGGGCGCCTCCAACCGCTGGGCCACACGCGCCCCTTAAGGTATATTTCCTTTTTTTACGAAATATTTTTGCAATATGGTGGCCGCCCATCGCTGCTATTGTTCGCTTATTTTGCATCGATTGTGATATAACACGGATGCTTGAAATAGGAAATGAATAGCCCCTAAGAACATTAATGCCAGCCTTTCAAAAAGCTGAGAAATATTATAGGAGGATAACATGATTCGTCGATGTTCACAGTTTCAAGAAAGAATCCAACAGAAGTAGAACTTGACTATTTGAATTTTAAAAAGGAATTGAATTTGAATTAGAAAAAAAAGTAGTTTGACCTTATCAACAACAGCTAGTTAGGGTTTTAAAAGCCTAAAATCAGACTGCATTTAGCGCTTTCGTCAAGAAGAAAACAAATGATTAGGGTAAATCTGAAGAGAAATTTCATGTAAACACTATGAAAGGTAACAAATTGACATGAGTTCTTGAACGAGTGAAGAAAGTGCTGGAAATAACTTGTACTGAACCGGAATAGCTGCGAAACTATACCATTATCTCACATTCACAATCTGCACCATGATGTTTTCCGGCACAAGCAGAGGACTGCGACAAACAGTGCACGTTGGGGGACAGCACTTGCCAGCCGACACTGCAACAGAACGGAGCCATTACGAACGGCGGAATCGTCAGCAAAACATCATTGTATTTTCACATAAAATTCGCGTTCGTGAATAGCAGGTCCAAAGTACGACCCAGTGCATACAAGTAAACCTGAATTCGGAAAGCTGGTTTTCTTTTGTTGTCACTGCGACAATCACTGTAATTACTGCAATTCAGTAACATTGGCCTTGATATTCGCATTAGAGCAGGTAATCTGGTTCACTGAATTTTAACACAGAAAATCATAATTTGGCGACTCAAGAAAAAGATGGCTCGATATTCACAACAACAAGAAGTTTGGACGATCATCGGGAAATGAACCAAAAGGTTCGAAATGGATGATAGGACTGAAACATTCATATCATACATAGTCTATGAACAAGTGAATGAAGCGAGAAAGACTGTGAGAAGTGATTAAAAAAAAGTTCCGAAATTCCGGAAATAATTATAGGTTTTTTTGGTTCCTAGGTTCCGAGGATCCTAAAAACTATTAAAAACGACTACTGATTTATGTTAAGCCGAACCCTTACCCCACCTGGAAAACCTTGGAATGTAAGACAAATAAGGATGACTGACAATAGGAATGGGAAGTAGGTAGAGAAAAATACTTCTCGCAAAAAAACTCAGGCTTACTATCTCTAACTGCATGCTAGTTTCCTAGTTTATTAAAACTGTACTCACCTATATCATAGTAATACAGGGTTCCGAGAACAATCGATTTGCCGTTGAACCAGCCATCTTAAAACAAAATTACAAGGAGAGAAACAATGCCAGATTTGTTAAAACAAGTGAGGAAACAATAACTATGTTCTCAGCCAGCGATCTCTATTATCAATTTGTAACCGCCAAGTAATTACAGCAAGAACCATCGCACTGTCATGAACAAGAGCTGTTCCATGAGCTGCGCTCTCTAGAGTCACACGTAGAGCACCACACTTTCCGTGTAGCCCTCTTAACGGCTAGTGTTTTTGAGACAGGATGTACCGACGGGTAGCCACTAATCGGACCACTAATCCACAAAAACGTTGAGTTTATTTTTTAGGGGCAATCCTAAGCTCCTCATGTACTTTCCAGCAACTTGATTGCAGCTTTAACGAGACATATGTGAAACATAAAATGCAGTCATTTGGGAAAAGTTTCTTTTTCATAATTCTGAATTAGTAAATATTCACCACTTGGAGACGCATTAGCTAATATTTTATCGAGAACATAACGTCTCAACTTGACCACAGAGTGTTTTGGGTGTCGCATTGCTATATTAAGTGAGAAGTCCACCTCCCAGAATGATCACTCAGTTCAGAACCTTTCAACTGGGAAAGCCAGCTAAGAGCATTTCATTGTATCTCTCGAAGAAATGGTCGTAAGGTGGCAAACCTCCTACAGGTAAACAAAGGCGAGAACATGCCCATGGTTGTCATCTGCGAACGCCATTTGGATTATCATCGATTCAATGTGACTACACCGGAAAAAATTCTTCCCCATAATTCTAAGGGAATTGTTCAGTACGCAACTGTTCCCATTGAAATTACTGAAATACCTCGTCCGCAGTTATTACAACGCCACTCTGACCATAAGCAGCTGGCGCAGAGCTGCTGCAAGTAGTTGCGCTTTCCATCGTACATCACCTGTAATCCATGATACCTAATCATATTGACTAATTATTCAGAATTCATAACGCAAAAAAAACCTTCTTCGACGATGGTGAGATATTTGCAAAACTCCGAAACGCAGGTGTATGCGGTGGAGAACGAGCGCGCTAATGTCCTTTCCGGGGAATAGCGCGTCCACCACCACACCACGCAGGTCCTTCGTTTCGCTTGTCTCTCAGCTAGCTAGCTAGTGATTGCTGATGGCAAAATATCGATAGAACTAGCTGAGAGGAAGGCGAAACGAAGGACCCGCGTGGTGTGGTAGTGGACGCGCTACCCCCCGTAAAGGACAATAGCGCGTTCGTTCCCCACCGCATACACCTGCGGTCCGGAGTTTTGCAAATATCTCAACATCATTGAAGGTATATTTCACAATGTATACCCTGCAGTTAAAAAGAGTAGGCAGTAAATAATAAGTTAAAAAACTTTCCATTAGATGATCTGAAGCAAAATCACTCAATGGAGATGTAAATGCATTATTTTTCAGCATTTTTTATTTTACCACATGACCCACCATATCACACTGCGTAGATCTCAGAACTTCTTACATTCGATTCGTTCGCTAGCGTTCGTCATCTACGAAGGTCTCCGAACATTCGCTTGTGGCTCCGGTCCTTGGCTTTTTGCTTGCAATTACTCTTTCTTCTTTATACGTGAGATTCATGAATCCTGAGATAGCCGTGCTAGGGCACCCCACATAGGTTAGCGGGAGTTAGATTATCGCAGACAATTTTGGTCCCAATTTCTCGACCCCGAAGAGATACGAGGCTTGATTGGCCCAGGGCAGAGTCGAACAAGGGACTAAGTGATATGGGCCAGCCGTGTAATCAGGGTGGTCACTACCATTGCGCCACCAGCTCCTTCGTATGTTATTCATTCAGTCTAATTAAAAGCCTAACAGCGATAAGCGATAATGTCGAGTATTAGGTGAAAAAGCGGAATCGAAATGCATAGTGGCATCGGGTCTCGCGATCCAAATTTTGCAAGTGTGGTGCAGAGTTTTTTTGTTCTAAAGATATAAATTAAAGAAAACTTAGAGATTGTTTAAAACCTAGAGGTTGTAAAGGTTACGAAATAAATCACCTCAGTTGGCGGTCCATAGTGGCAAACTGGCGACAAGAAGAACACTCCGTCGACGAGAGGGTATCGATCATACACCTGAAAAACACCTTTCCCACTTTCTTAACCCACTAATCATTCATGACATATAGTCCCATTTAGTTCGAAAAGTTTGTGAGACAGAGGAATGAAACTTTGGCGTGCACTTAAAAATCTTAACCTTGAAGTGTTCAGAGACTATTAAGATCATGCCGACCTTCTTCTATGTTCTGATGAATAAAGCCGTTTTTCAAGAAGACTCAAGACAATCAAAAGCCTGCCTCTAAGAAGTCCCTTATTCATGGTTTTGTAATCGAAAGAACATACGATGGACACCACGCGCGCGTACTATATTCACTGAAAAATGAAGAATTCACGAAGAAGTAACTCAAAAAAATTCTATCAATGCTTCCTTCTGCATTCTAACCAAATCGACAAAGTGACGACAGACCGCGTATAAAAGATATGTAAGAAGATGCCCTGTTTTCTTCAAAGCAAGAACATGGCAGCAAGAACTCCAAAATTTTTCTTGTAAATTGTCGGTGTCCTCAGCTCAATGAACCTAGTAATTTTTGTGGAATTTACATGTTTTATTACACTTTCTTCCTTTCGTTACAAAATGTAGACTTAACTTTACATCTGACAAATAGTAAATTAGAGAAGAGCGCGCGGCATCTGTCAAACGTAATGTTCACGGAGTGAAGCACGAAGATTTTACTTCGATGGAATTCAAACATTATGGAATCTAAAGGCTTAAAACTAAGACCTTCTACTATTTTTGAGAAAATCGGTATAACAACTAAGGATAAGCACGTTCTCTGCCGAAGTAATTCGATAGAACACAAAAAAATGATTAGGAGTGTTCGAAAGACAACAAGACAAAGCGAAATTTGGGGTACCGATAGAGAACGGGGGATGAATGGCAATATAACGGAGATCGAACTGAAAACGTACCACCATGTCACGATGACAGCCGACACAGGGAACAACGCGCTGATTGTGTGCTCCCAACGTCTTCAGAAGGCACAGACGAACATCGTCACCGCCTTGCGGACAGTCATCTTCCATCTGTATCATTTAACCATTTCACTAACTTGCATGTGTTAATTTCGCGATACTTTTAAATCTATTTAATAGCTCATCTATTTCTAATCATTTACCCATCTTTTTGTTATTTAAAACGTAATTCGACACTTGATGGGAGTAGGTGAGGATGAATCAGTTCCTTGGTTGGTTGGGTCTAGCGAGTTACCACTAAACGGCACCATTACCACTGCGCTACTCACCACTCGTCTGTGTAGGACATGTTTGACAAAAAGGTGGAGTTTTTCGCATTCCAGTGACACTTTTTAAAAAAACAAATATTTACATGGTGACAATGTGAAGCAACATGGTAAAACCAGCACAACTAACTAAGCAGATAGATTGCTAACTCTACAAGCTCGTTTCTCGACTTGTCATCGTCGTCGGGCACCTATGTAAATTGTGGGTTGGAAGTGAAACTATGACAAGAAAGCCGTTCTATCAACATGGGAAGAACCGTTTGAACATTATGAATCGAAGACTCTCGAAAAGATTTAGACCAGAAGGTGTTGAAGTTTCATAACCATAAAAAGTTAAACAGTCAAAAAGTTAAGTTTCTAATACAAAACTGCAAAGTAATTTTCAACGTCTTTCCTTGTTAACATGATTTCAAAGATTTAATTACGAAGCTTTCCTAATTTACATCCCAACAATGGTGGCACTTTTTTCATTTGACTGGCAAGATTTTGGAGATACACCGTTGTCAACAGCGATGATAAACAGGACGGGCTCTTTGAGCACCTCCACTATGGTCCTACAACATCCGAGAATGGGCTGTTCAAGCTCTGTAGAGTCAGAGCGTTTATGATTAGTGCAAAGAGATGCCTAGTGAGTCAGCAAGTAACTTTCACAGCCGGAATTTCACCACTCTAAGACCGAGCAGTAACGTGATTACACGGGGTTGAAGTCTGACGGCTGGGTACTGCACTAAACAACCTTTCCTTCTTAATGAATTGAAGAATAGTGGTTAAGTTCGTAGAGCACATAAAAATCGGTTTGCAACTTAACTGCGGGAAAAATGTTTCTGCGACAGGCTCATTTTTCCCATGCTCCAATCACGCACGGAACATCTCAAACTAGCCATAATGTGTTAAGATGAAAATAGTGACCAACTTAGCTCCACAGCTGGATAAAAATGAACGAGCAGACAATGGAGCTTGAAAGGGAGCATCCAATAAAGAAAAACACGGGGAAAAACTTGCACCTCTTCGTTACTCTAGCTTTAGCGTAGCTCTCCCAATTCAAGTAAACACGATGAAATTGTGTTCAACATCCTCAAATGTCCTAAAGAAAGTGCGTTTGGGGACATTAATTAGTTCGTAGTCTTTAGCGTAATGCGGATAATGAGTGAGGAACACGGTGTTCGAACTTGTGACGACGGCCGAAAACCAGGGATGCTGCATACAACAATGTATCGGCACTCATGAAAAGAAAAATCAAACGCCGAAAAGTAACACGTAAAATCGTTGGACAGCTGCAGACAACGACTAACTTCCAGAGAATGTCAAGCATACACTGACATGACCGTCAATCGGACGTTCAGACCTCTTTACTAGGACCTCAGATTAAAGTATCCTTTGTGTTGCTAGGGTGAGGAGAACCTAGTAGACAAATTCGACTAAAAAACGGCGGAAAGTAAACGACGACCATCAGGCCACTTAGTGGTAGAGTCTGAAGTCAGTTAAGTACCAAAAGAAAAATCTAAGTGCTGTTGCTGATGGTCGCCGCGTCTATGGAAGTCTTATACCATTCTATGATGTGAAGGAAAAAGGAAGGAACTTCAAAATAACGGCTGAAAACGAATGAGTATCACTGAACACATACACCTCTAATTTTATGTCACTTTCCAAGATGTTTCTTTCCTTGTAGTTTTAAGACCTAAAGCATTTAATGCATTAAAAGGTGAAAAGCCGATTTTAATTGGAAGACTGTGAGTTGGACCTATAAACAACCATTTCTATGAGAATAAGGGCGCGTGTAGCGCAGTGGTCGGCGGCGCCCTCCAATGCACATGGAATCGATCCCCGTGCCTCTGCCCACCAAGCCTTCCACCCCTACGGTGTCGACAAATTGGTATCAGCCTTGTCTGAAAGGATATCAGCATTGGCTCGATACATCTGTAGGCCACCGCAAGTCATTGTAAACGCCAGATATGCATTCAATCACCTCCAACGATGTTTAATGAAGTCGAATGCATGACACATCCCTCAGGGATTGATCGACGCCGGGGGCACTACTATTATTATTAAGGGATTAAAAATAAGCATTAGATAAATACAAAATGAAAGGATGATAATTTTCAATGAAGGTATATCGTCGAAACCCTGTTTTCAAACCATATTATAAAAAGTTCGGAGATAATAGGAAACGTTTAAAACATGAACACCTGTAAATGAAAACTACAATTTAGAATTAAGTGAACCCCATAGTTAACATGTAACGGATGATCATTGCCCCATATTCAGATCGAAAAAACTTTCAGAAGAGAGTTCAGTTACACTCTAGAAGTGGAAGTCAGTAGTATAACAAAACATGCTGTGGACATAATGAACAAAGAAAACCTTAAAGAAGAGGTGTTCCTAGAAAAACAAGATATCACGTACTTATTGGCCGGAAAACTGACAATGGTTCCAGAATTACACCAGCTAAAAGATGTTTAAAAGCGTAAGATCGCCACCAACAAGCGGGAGTCATTGCAGATCTTTAATAAAAGGATAATAAGAGTAGATAAAAACCATAGTTAACCCTTCTTAATTCAATAATTGATTTTTTCTCGGCGTAATAATATCAACAGTGTTAACCTTTTATTTGCTGCCTATTATAGTTTTTCACGGCAGGGTATGATGTGAAATAGACCTTACCCTTTCCAGGGGAACTGCAACATGGAGGCCCTTATTTTGCGTTGTGTTAATGTCAAGAGTTTTCAGAACCCTTCCAATATTCCTTTGTCTCTAACTTATCACATCATTAGTTAAACAATACACTGGAATTGTCGTTATCTAAGTTTCTTGTACTCCAGTTCAATAATTGCGAAGATGATCTTGTGAAGTAAAAACTACATATGGCATTAAGATGAGCGCCAAGAGATGAATGAAGTGCATGTCTATGAATGGAACTCCGAAATATCTACGTTCTCATAGTTTTAGAGGAAGAAAGCACGGAGATTCGGTGGAAAGATAGATGTTCTATCTCCTTTCGATTTAAAATCTTCCGAATTCACAACTGACGACGTTTCGATAGCACAGTGCTAAGAGTATGGCGGCGCATCTCACCCATGATTGATCGAAGCCACGAACTTTATTGACCCTATTTTTTTTATTTAGGCTCCCATCTATCCGTTATATTGGCACCTTAACTTCTTTTTAAAGCTGTTTTCAAGCTCGTGTTTTCTGTAAGTTATAACTATAAAATAAAAGAGATAAAGAGACCTCGAAATATACGAAGATTGGTCACCTAATTCGTGTGATTAAACTGCTCAAACAACAGATCTTCAACCACGGGCCCTGAAATGGTCTGTGAATTCGAATCCTTGTTCTTCGCTAAGTGTTTTCGGCTCGACGGCGACAGAACTCGTAATGAGGAGCAGGCGACATAGTAACCCCAATAGCGATCTCTCAAACGGGAAACAAAGCGAACGTGGTGGGGCCGTTTCGGGACAGACAACAACACCAGCACGTCACATGTCAGAGTGGGGCAGGGCGTCAGATGAACTGCCCTTGAAAGACGACGTCCATCGAATAACAGCAAAGTACAAGCAGCCTGCGACGAGCCGACGACTGGAGAATGAGATGTGCTAACAATAAATACCAACTAAATGCTCAGAATGCGAGAGAACAATAGAAAAAAGACGTGAGGAGACTTCGTGCTTCCAAATACACACATCTATTAGATCACAGCGGTACCTATTATTTATATAATATGTGCGCCCTCGAAATTCACAAATGTTGGCGTCTGCCTGTGGTGAAGACTCGGGAACCACCTAACACGGGTGCTCCAGGATTCTAGGGAAAACCGACTTGATTAGAATTGAAAGACATTCACGAAGAAGAATGAAATCTTCAAGCAGAGGCTGAACCCACAGGCAAACTCGGAAAACTTCGTGGCTGATGGATGAGAGGAAGCGAATCGAATGGAAGAGGTGTTGGGATCCACATAATACGTGGTGCCGGGTCACATAATATGCAAATGAATAAAACAAATAGCAAATAGATAAGTCTCCTAAGCACATCATGAATCACGCCTTATGATCTCATATTCTGGAGAAATAAAATATACGAAGAATAAGGAAAGATTCACAAAATATCGATTGATGATGAGTTAACCTCAATGCGCAACTAAAAGTGAGGAATTCATTCTCTACCGAATTTCCAGAAAATGAAAGAGATTCTCGGAAATCACTACAAGAGAAACGGAATTCATCGTTTAGATCAGTCTCCCAATCCAAATTCAACCGACTTTGAACTGAGTACGACCTAATTGGTTCAGATACGATAGCTATGAGAAGATACCAAATAAAATAAAAATGAATCAACACAGTTGCGAATGAAAGGATTTTAAAGTCCACAATGGCATATGGTTTTGGGTGAGCTAGAAATGGAAGCTCCTCAAACTAAAGAGCTACTCAGCTTTCAGGCTGAAGATAGCCTTGTGAAATGGACATTATGCCGAGGTCCCGCAACGAATTCCTGATGAAGAAGAAGAATGCCAGTATAGAAGCATCCAAAAGACGTTTAACTCAACGAAACCGTGTATTTTAATTTTAGTGAGATGAAAAAAAGCGAAAGTCTTAACGAAAGCCTGCAATAATCACCCTATCGGAATTTTCATGACGAGGAAGAATAATAGGGGACAAAAATTAGTCAAATCAAAATAACAGAAGAGAAGGAAGCCTAACCTTTATATGAATACCGTTGAACTTTGACAACGGAATGATAGAGAGGAGATTGTCGAAGTTTTCTCGACGAGCGAACACCGAGCCATTCACTCGCACCTGCAAATAATAGGAAGGAAATCGGATGCAGTAGGTAGCTATTGAGAATGGGACTTTATTTAGATCACATGGAAAGGAGGAAGAAAAGTTTCCGTCTGCAACCTACAGAGGAACACTAAATAAGAATCACTAGATAAAAAAAACCAACTACCTATTGGTAATTGCGTTGCAAGACATGGCAAAAACCTCTAACACACTCGCGACAGTGCCGGTTTCCCAATAACTACTGACAATTTCACACTAGAACTCCAAGAGAAATAATTTCCCGCTAGAACTCCGAGAGTTGACGACTTCCCAGACCCAAAAAATAACACTCTATCACTATGTCTTGCCGGACCAAATCCCGCTTGTTCAATTGCCTTCGTGTCGAAAATACAGAGCCCAGCGGAAAAAGTGGAAACGCAACTTCTGCATGCTGCAGAAAATCTGAATTTCATTTCATCTTTATAAAAAACAAACTTGCATCCGGCTGACCGATACCTGTAGATTCCACTGTATTCCATGAGAGTTAATAAAATTCATCACGAGGTGCGATGTTCTGGCTTAAATTTAAAAGTGGAGGTTAATTCTGAGCCATATGAGACATATGCGATTCATATGGTCGAGACTGTCTTAACGGCTTAGTACTTTCATTCAAGCTTTTTCTGTTTTTGTCATGGAGAAAGTTATATGCAGATTGTGACTGTCACTTCACAGTTTAATGGATACTTATGTCACTAGTGAGGACGATGAAGAAATATGAAATAGTTATTCAAATCAGATGATTGGCGAGGCGCGGTAATCAATGCCTGTTCTTTACATGGGGTTAAAATCAGCCAACTCACTTGCTCATCTTCGAAAAACCAGTGCTTGTCGACATTACTGCGCAATATATCCGGCTGAATGCAACATCTCAACTCGCCCCCACTGGCATCTTTACGTCCCCAGCGCTTGCCGTCGCTTCGTGATGATCCTGAGCGACGACGAAACTCGTCCGAATCTAAAAGGATAACGACATGACTTGTACCGTAATTCTGGGGCACTTCATATAACTTTCTGAATCATTTAACACAACTACCACAACAGGGTCCTTGCACAGATGACCATCGAGCTTGCTTCTGATATTCCATCCTCACAGGAACATCCAATGAGTTCAATAACACATAACTAGCGTAATTTCTTGTGTTGTTCCCTGTCGCTACTGTTTCACAATAATCCCTTAGTTTACTTTCAGTATTGCCGTACTCTATCGCGTTCGTCGGAAAGCGAATGTGCAGGCGTTCCGTTCACCTGACATGTTTTCGTCGTTCACTCGATAGGGGAGTGTGGAAGTGGGCACAGGAGGGGCTGTGGTAGGCAGTGAAAACAAGCCGATTTTTGCGGAGAGGGAGAGCGACTCGTCGCATCACGGCCACACACAGAAATAACAACATGATTTTCAAGCACCATCGTTCGAAAACATGTTGACTTTGCGTAACTTACCCTTAACCAATGTCGCTTGAGAAAAGAAAAAGATAGGACTTGCCTGGGACAAGAAAAAGACCAGGCAAATGTTCTCGAATGGTCCTTTTGTTTGCATGGTTGCAGAAATCTCCAAAATATGTTATCGATTCCTCTCAGACCTTTTTAGCAGAAGACTGAAGGTTAACTTAGGGAAAACATCAATTGCAATCTTTCCGTTACAGTGCATGTTCAAAAAATAAGAAGACAAAGTATCAGTTTTCGAGGAGGGGTTGGCATAGTGGTTAGTGATGTAGTCCACAAGGAAGCAAGGTGCTGGTTCGACCCACTCCACCATGTTCCAATGCACGTAGGAACGGTTTTTGGCCGACTAACTCCAAGATTGCAAGAAGAATTGACCCAGTAAACTCGACGAGCACTCTACTACACTCACAGAAAGGACGAAATCCTCAAGTATCAGCGAAAACAACACGAAATGTTCGAAGAGCTTTGTGGACGTTGAATAGGAGGAAGACGAATCGAACGCAAGAAGTGTTGGGTTGTGCACCATAGATGCAATGACGAGTTATGTTATAAACAATTAACTAAAAAGTATGACATTTCTCGTTCTGGGTTTTAGGACTCTAATAACACCTAATCACCATTCCAAATGAGATTTCATACACCCGAAGCGCTTCTTTTATCACCCAAGACCATCGTTCATGAGCACTCGTAGAAGACTCCTTCCCAAAACAAAAGCAGTAAACCAAAATTTCCTTCTTTTTCGGAAAGCACTTCCAATAATTTTCTGCTTTTAAAATGATTACCTTCCTGCAAAATGAACTACATAATGGTTTCACAAATAAACGAGTACCAAGCTAGGCTAATGCACCTTCAAAATTTGACTAAGCCTAAGCCTAAAGCAGGGTACAATAAAAAAGCTCCCATCCTTCACGGTCCTCACTCACATTGTTGCTATCAGCATCAGTTTGACTCACTATTTACCTAGTCATTAAATATTCCATGTCATTCTTTCTCAATAACATGAAAAACGAGGTGCTCGAACTTGGCAACGAAAACAGTGGTTTAGTGGACACACGAAAACATATTGATCCAAGCGAAAATGACAAGCCCCTACTGGTAATAATGAACCACTTAATATTATTGAAAACGGAAGTAATAACCAGAAGCAGGACTGTACTCTCATGTAAACAAACTCAAGAGTCCAAAACTGTGCTTCGTTGTCCAGAAATTCCCAAACTATACGTATTTCGGTGGAAGTAATGGTTCGAAGCGTTGACATGAATCCAAGACTCGTAAACATCACAACTCTGCGCTTCTACACAGACGATGGTGGGCTACGGTGCCCGACGAAAGAGCATCTGAGTGCATGTATGAGCTGACGAAAGCGTTTGCCTTTTATCACTCCGCCACCGAACAGTATGAGCACATGCATGCTTAGCGCAAAGCGATAGGCCACAGACTGTACTTCAGCCGACGAACGTGAACCCTATCACACTAGTGTCAATCTGTCAGTCGCTACCCATGCACCAGCAACGGAACTATTATCTAAAGCAGTTCGCGTTCGGGACAGAACATGGTTGCCCTACCACACTGATACGCGCCGGCATGCTATCTTCCGCTAACAGAACATTCGTGACCACGGGCAGGCGGAGCTCACACGTCGCCGAAGCTCTTCAGCTGGCCTAGTGGCACTGGTGTGTCACACTGTTCTCGAAACTGTTGCGGACGAGAAACCGGTGGATTCGAACGTTTCTGTAGATTAACACAATCGTTTAGCTGCTGCTCTACGTGAAGACGCTGGGCGGTGAGATTGTTTCACGTCATACGTACACATTGCGCCTAATGTCTTTTAATCTCATATCTTCAGATTAGACTTGAAACATCGGATTTCGCGTTGGACTGTTTAGTATGCATTCTTCTATGAGTGTTATATGATCAAGTCCTAAACTAGCATTTGTGCTCTCTCAACATCACCATATGGTTTCTAACGTTTTTTATATTTTAAATCTAATTGTACAGTGGCAGTGCTGCAGTCAAATACGCGCAACTCCAGGGTTCGAGCCAGTGTCAGACCAACTAAACCACCTATCCTTCCGGGATTAGGAAATCGCACCAGACTTAATTGGGATAAGCTGATTCTCTCCAGTCTACAAAAGGTGGCATTGCCCATGACGTAAATCTGGGAACGCCCCAACAACGATGTCCGGATTTCAGAGAAATTAGACTCGATCGACACTCAACGATGTTCATAGAAAATGATCACAAATCCTCGAACAACTGCTGAACCCATGCATGAAGGTTCAAAGGGTTTCCTTAATGATGGGCGCGTGGAAACGAATCAGAAGCAAGTAATTCTGGGATCAGCACAATACTAACAGGCGACGTCGGGTGGTGCAAAAAACCATTTCACTTTACCTTTTCTCAGTTGGCTTAGATAACCGATGAGCGGAGGCCTACCACTATCAGTCCATCACCGTCGGTTTTTAGAGACGGAGTTGATTCTTCCACATGAATTTCGGCTACTCGGCTATCTCATACAAAGCCTAAGTAGACTCACAGAACTAAGTTATCTCAAAAATCAACTTATAAATCGTTGAAAGTATTTCATTTGGGCCGAGTGGTCATTGTCGAATACACGGACATGATGAGGAATTCTTTTAAAAAGAGACAGATTCGAGTTCTCTCATGTGCTTACTTTCTTCGAGTACCTGAATTGAAGTTTACTTTAAACAAAACCAAACACCGAAAACAATCTGGATAAATAAACATGGTCTACGGAAAGTAACACTGAAACTCGTCCGAACGAAACTAAAACGGTTTATTCTAGGCGACTGACGGTCTCGGACGGCACTCTGGAGGAACGTACTCTTTGTGGCTAGATTATTAACGATAGATTTAATATCGCTGTGACATTTTAAAAGATACAATCTGCTCATGAAAAGTGTCTTATGAATGCATGTGAACAGGACTTTTTTTCAAATCGAATAAATTGAATACGGTTATTGGACATTCCAAAGGTGGAGTCTACAGCGCTGCCTACAGTAAACCCTTACACATAACGAATAAAGAAGACCATGAAAGTTACTATTGCCCATTATTCCATTACTGCTGCCAAATCCATCTAAAAACAAAAAATAGCGCAATAACAAGAAAGGGAAACAAGTACTGATTTGGGACCAGCTCAGCAATAGCAGCGGGAAGAACGGAGGAAAATGTTTTCGTCTACTAAAGAACAACTTATTGCAGCTAATAAGGCAATAAGTAGAGAATTTTGAGTCGTGTTTGCCAAGAAATCTCACTTCGGATGGCGAAAATTCGCATTGCTCGGTCATTCAGAGGAATGATCACCTGTGAAAGCAACATGGCCCCATAGTGTCATCGACTAGACTACCGTAACTCATCCGAACGGAGTCATAACTGCTATCATCGCCGTCGCAATAACAACACCACGGCGTAACTCCATCACGACGACAACTCGCACAGCCTGGTTTGTGCGGAGAATAAAAAATAAATCGAAACAAAATATGGGAAGAGACCCTGACGAAAGTGGGATGAAATGCGAAGACGACGTAAGATCAATAATGGGCCAAAGAAGCATCTGCTTACGGTTTTTTCGTTCATCACAGGGGCGATCGATCTTGTCGTTTCTCAAGGCATTAAGCATCGAATGCCCAACACACCACACACCACAAATAGTCCCTCTTTAACAGCCACCTCAATAACAGTGGCAAGAGCTGGTGACTCCCGACAACTTCACTGAATATCATATGAAGTTCCACTGTACGAGAAAGAAGAAAAACACGCAAGTACCGAGATTAATCCACGTTTATAAAGGTTGAATCACCAAGATTTTCTACTGGGCGGACTCGGTGTCTCATACCGAGAGGACAGCAGAAAAAAAATGTTCGTAGAACTAAGCGCAAAAGTATGATATCGACTCCTTAACGTTTTCATAAACCTGACGCAATACGTCACAGGTATGATTAACAGGCAAAACCACCTCGTAATAACTCCACACAGAACTGAAATTATACGGTATCGGAGCAAATAATGAAGTCGGCTGGCAATAGGGCAAGGTAAGGCATTGAAACCTATCAATAAGCTGGATTCAAAACACCCGACAGCACTGCTGCAAGCAGCGGCGATTTCCAAAGTCATAAACACAGCACGATGCACTTAGGATGTACTGCCGATAATTAGTCACTCGGGCGTGTTGTTGCCTTGGCCAATGCATTGGAAATTCACAAGAAACAGAAACATTTCAACATCCAGCGACTAAATCGTTAGGTGGTTAAGTCAATCCTTAAGCCCTAACATGTTAAGTATATTACCAACATCTTAACAGTCGATATCCCATGAGGGTGCCAAACTCATGTTGCGTTTTTGCACTTGGCATTAATCGGTTTGATGACCCATTAATTTCTCTCCAAACAACAGATATCCAACTCCTATTGTTAAAACCTGGATGGATGAAGCAATACTGACTGGCATAACGGAATTAGCTCCTCAATAGCGCAAAAGTACAACAAATCGATCGCTACGAAAATATTTTGTACGTTCAAAGCGCACGCGCGCGGCGTCC